CACGGAGAACCATTCCACTCAGTGTTTGCCAAATTTCTACACAAATTTTGACACCAAAATCATTGTTTTGACACTTACCGATATCTATAAAAGTATTTTGCACTGAAAAAACAATTATTTGCGGTTTCCCCCTTAATGCACATTTATTTATGTAAATTTATAATTTTCAATTAAAATTAAAATTGTGTTAAAATGATTAAAACACATATGAGGGTAGGCTCTCCATGCACGACACAAGGCATGAGTCAACACATGAAAGCAAAGATAATAAAGTAAAAGATATGACGTCTTGGTTTAGAACTCAAGCGAACAACATTAGAATTCAGTTATTAATTAGAAAAGGAAAAATGGATGGAAATTAATAATATGGTTTGAAATTCATTTTTTATTTAAATTTGTTTTATCATTTTAAAGGATAGGATGAAAAATGTCAAATATTTTTAATTACAAATTGTCCGATTTTATTTTACATAGTTTTTTTGTACTACAGTCCGCAGACTCACAGAGTGAAATTTTATGTTGTTAAGAAACCCATGATCGACCAGGCGAAAAAATAGTATTCTAACTATTGCAATCTGTTTTTTACTTTAATTATGCAAACAGACCCAAAACTTTATACACATACATAACAACAAATTTCTTGAGAAAGTAAGTTTTTGGCGAGGATTGCGCTTCTAAATTTTGTGACTTTTTTTCAAACCAACTAGAGCGTTCAAGGCGCACGGTTTTTTACACAAAAGCTGTTGCCTAGTCTTTTCATTATGCGAATTTTAGCATTTATGTGTGTAAATAATAAAATTCAAAGTACATTCGATAAAAATGAAGTGCCCCAAATGTTACCTGATTTTCATAGCTTCCTGTCGAACCATGTGTTTAAGCTTTTCACTTGGTTGTTTTTGGTATTTAGCGGCCCATTTTTCCCCGCCTTTTTTAGATGTAATCAGATAAACCTTGCCGAAGCCTCCCACTCCAAGCCGAAGTGCCTGACTCATGTGAAACTCATCATAGGCCTGATTAAACGGTAATATTTCTCTGGTGAACTTGGACAGATTCATTTTGACCAGGATATTTACTAATCGTCTAATAACTTATAAATACAGTTTATTTTATCTTATCACTACAATAGGTTGATATTGGCTTCTCAGTTACACCAACTGATGCAGAGGAAGCTCAGCTTTATACTGATAAGTTGAAATGATTTCTCAGCTCCAATTTATGTAATCAGTGTTTTCCACATGGCCATGTTTTGTTTGTATATGGATTTACATTCAGTATCAAATAATGAGAAGTAACAATACAACTGATAAAAGATAAGAAGAAATAAATTACGTTCACATTTTTTCGAGTTTAAAATTTTGATTTACGTCATGCCAGCCCCAATACATGACTATGAGTGACTAAAGGAAATGTTTGAACCAAAACTAATTCATTTACTATTTACTTCAACCACAGGGCATAGACCTGAGTACACTACAGTTCACACAATACATTATACAGGCAGCTAGCTATGCAGTGTTTCAGGACTGTTGCTTAACTGTAGCTTATAGTTATACTGGAGGTATAGAATAGATGGATAGAGCTGTATAGAGCTCTAAATAGGGAGATTAAGAGAAAGATGAAAGTAAGGATAGAAAGATAATGAGAGAGCAGAGATCAGATTACTATTCATCAATGATTATGTTGAACGGAGTTAAGAGGGACTGTAAGCGTAATTTCTAGAGACATTCCATGCACAGATGGCAATGCCGGATTCACAATGGTATCCTTCAAAACTTTATCTGATCAGAAATGTGCAAGTTTTTTGGTTTTCTAGGTCTTAACGTGTTTAATTCTGATAATTCCCAGGAGTATAGTAGAAAGTCACTCCTGTGTAGAAACCACATTTAAAAATTATCAGTTAAAAAATTTTAACATTGATATCTAATCTATACTTGTTCAGTCAAAGCTTTTAAGGGCACGGTTCTAAATCGGAAATTGCAATCTTAGCATGCAATTTCGCTCACTGTCTCTTTAAGCAACCGACAGAGAAATTTTTTCTAAATATTTATGAATCATCTTGTGTAAACACTTAAATCAACGAAACATTCAATATTTAAAAATAAAGAACTGTTGTAGAGGCATTAAGGGCTTTCTTATTCAAAAAATAGCTTTTCTTGGAAACTCAGCTTTGCCTTAAATTTTCACAATAAAAGTCAACCCATTCAACTAAACGAAAACTGTAGAATAGGAAGACGACATTAAAGAAATACTGAAGTGTATTTAATGGCTTTACTAGTAAATTATTAAATCCCTGATTAAGTGAAATGGGTCTGTTTACACCATACATGTTGCTGTGCCTGTGTCTTATGCTCATTTGACTTTTTAAAGTTATAACTTACCCGTCGATCAAAATTAAAGGTAGTAACTTAAAACAAATTTGGTACACTGAACAAAACAGATATCTCTTGTAAAATAGTTATTGTATATTCAAGAATTTGATAAAAATGTGTTTATAATTAACAGAGTTAATACAAAATATCCGGGAGATTTTATTTTGGAAGATTTGATGCACATTAGATCTAATAATTTCGCGGAATTTTTCCCTTCTAAAGAGTGTGTCCATTAACATAGACTTTAAGTGACGAATTTGAAATTATTCATGAATCTTATACATTTATAAAATAATGCAAGATAATCATGCATGAATTCAGGCCGTAATAAATCTAGGACTTCATAAATACAGAAACTCTATAAACTCACGGAGGTAGGATCATTACATGCATTGTTTGCAACTTGCAAGGCTTGGTATCAGCAAGGAATAATGCACTGTATAAAGTCTGTCTCAAAAAATATCGGAATTCAGTAATGGCTCTGAAATCGTTTTTGATTCACAGGGCATTATTTTGTAAACTAAAAATTCTGAAATAATAAGACGACTCTTAAAATCAAGTTATAACTTTTAAAAAAATCAAATGAGCATGAGACAAAGCATTGTGCAGTGTAAACAGACCCATTTCACTTAAAAAGTGATTTTGTAATTTACTTTAATGTCGTCTTCATATTCTACAGTTTTCTGGTTATCCTTTTATAAAACTTAAACGCACAGTAAAAAGAATGAGGAAGTGTACAATGAAACTTGGCTTATGGAACCAAAAATTTATTTAAATTTCTTGATTCTTTGGAAAGAAACCTCTCAAAGGTTTAAGAGAGGCACTGTGGTGAGTAGTGTATGCATTTAGAGAATCATGGTTTTTATAAATGGGCTGTAAGTGTAATTTAAAGTCAATCTCTAAGCTAAGATCGCCTTGCCTGATTCACAACGGTGCCCTTAAAAGAGTTGTCTGATAAAGAATGAATTAGTTATTGTTTTTTTTTGTCAAAAGATGTCTTTTTTCATTTACGGGTTCTTAGCAAAAGTGACTTGCGCATTTCTTGTGTAACAATAAATGAGGATATAGAATATACAACAATAAAAGAGGATATATATAGAATATACAACAATAAATGAGGATATAAAATTTACAACAATAAATGCGGTTATAGAATATACAACAATAAATGATGTTGTAGAATAAATATAACAATAAATGTGGATATAGAATATACAACAATAAATGATGTTGTAGAATAAATATAACAATAAATGAGGATAAAGAATATACAACAATAAATGAGGATATAGAATATACAACAATAAATGAGGATATAGAATATACAACAATAAATGAGGATATAGAATATAACAATACATGAGGATATAGAATATACAACAATAAATGATGTTATAGAATACATATAACAATAAATGAGGACATATAATATTTAACAATAAATGAGGATATAGAATATACAACAATAAATGAGGATATAAAATATACAACAAAAAATGAGGTTATAGAATATACAACAATAAATGAGGTAATAGACTATACAACAATAAATGAAGTTATAGAATATACAACAATAAATAAGGATATAGAATATACAACAATAAATAAGGTTATAGAATAAATATAACAATAAATGAGGATATAGAATATACAACAATAAATAAGGTAGAATAATGTGGGGGGGGGGGAGGCTGGGGAGTAGCTGAGTCGGATAGAGGTGATTATTTACAATATTTACTTTTGACAACTTATCTCTCAAATTAATTATAAACATGTCAAGGTTGATTCATTAACTACTGGTGTCCTCATATAAGAATTATCTTAAAGGAAAAGTTAAATTTTCGAAGATTATCCGATCTTCGCTAAATTTTCTCAATTTCATGTGCTCTGAAATAAAAATAAGTTAATTACTGAATAAAGGACACCATGTCTTTCAGTCTTTAGTTTTATATACATCTTATCCATATTCTGATACTATGCAGTCTAGTTTCTAGATTCTGATACCATGCATTCTAGTGTCTAGATTCTGATACCATGCATTCTAGTGTCTAGATTCTGATACCAAGCAGTCTAGTGTCTAGATTCTGATACCAAGNGTTAATCCCTAGTATTCAATACACCCTGGTTAATCCCTAGTATTCAATACACCCTGGTTAATCCCTAGTATTCAATACACCCTGGTTAATTCCTAGTAATTAATACACCCTGTGTCATAGTACCAAATACACACTAGAACCAGGTAATTGATACCCTTGAAAACAATGTTTACACCCTGCATTAAATGTAAATACGGGTCCTGCATGTTTATTTATTTTTGTATTCTAAAAAAATATTTCTGTTTAACATATAAATAAACACCCTTGGATGAATCCGATACATAGCCGATTTCTCTCTGCTTACTCTAATTTTCAAATTACTTAATTTTGTAACCTTATTTCGATATAGACCTTTTATATTACAAATCTAAAGTTTAAATCATTAAATTGCTAAGATAAAGAGATTTAAAAATTATAGTTAATTTTTTACTTTGAATCTTAATAAAAGCTAATAAAATTTATTTTAGTTGTAATTACTTAACGTATTCTCTAAACGATGAAGATTACTCAGAAAGAACAGAGATTAATAATTTTAAGCTTTTTATCTTTCATTTTATTACCTTCTTTGTCTCATGTTGATTATTATTTTTGATTTATAAATGTAACTAATGAAGTAAGAAGGAATTGACAGTTATCACTATTTTAACACCCGACTATGATCGGTTCGTTAACGACAAAAAGAAAAGAAAACGGAACTACCAAGGTAGTTTATAAAAGTTGATTTATTCTTTCTATCTATACGAGTCTTTCTTCGGTGTTGTTTATGTTATCAATATTGAAATGATGACAGAGTGTCAGAAAGAGAAGATTTAGTCTACAGGGTGTTTTTCAAAAATGTTGTTTTTTCATTACGTCAACAGATAGATAAAAATCCACCTAAAAAAGAGTGAAAATCGTCCAGTACATCTTCAAAACTTTACAACTGCAAATTTGCATTTACAATTTCAAAATACATGGATTATCATACAAAAGAAGTAAGAACGCAGTCTTCTCTCCAAAAATTCTGGTTTGATCAGAATGAAGGTACTTTTAAAAAATGTATATTTGCCTAGATCTAATAAACGCTTTTACATATAGAAAATTTGATTTTTACTTTATCAAAAATAATCTGTATATACTTTGCTTGGGTGTCTGTTTATTTGTATCCAATAAACGTCAAAACGGCTGAACAACAGCCCAATAACATTTAAATTTATTATATTTTAATGTCATTATGTGTTCGTTATTATGTACTAAAATATCAAAACTTTTGATATTTGAGTTAGCAAGAAATTTACGTTTTTCGTATTAAAACATGTAAAATGTGTATACAAAGACGACGTCTCTACGACAATCAATTAATCATTAATTGTATTTTGATTCGTAGATTTTGTAGATTTTGTTCCCGTATGTGCACAACTTTTCATTTGTCATGCCGCGTTCAATTCAGCTTTTTACACAGGCAATACCCAATTTTTAATGCAAAAAATAGTGTTATTTTAGAAATAGAAAGTTGAAAAGCAAAAAAAATCTAAAAATAATGACATTTACAATTAACGATTAGATACTACAGTTTAATTTTATATTCGAAATTTATTTTGATTCACAACATACTGAAAAAAAAACATCAATTAGTGTCTTTATATTCTTATAATTCTATTATATATTCTCTTATATTCTTGTTTTGCAAAAATCTAAATACATCCGATGAGAGGTTGGTTCAATTTCGATATTGATCATGCTTTATGAGAAATCAAAGATTAAAAACGCTCTTTGAGTCAACTCTCATGGTTTGCGGGACATCCATATGTTAATTCTAAGTAAAAAAGAAAATAATTTAGCTGAAATTTGAAAATTATATTTGGTATATATCTGGTTTATTCCTGCTAGTGATTCCCCCCAGTTTCTTCCAGTAAGCATGCACTTCCTATTGATATATACAGGGTGTCCCATACTGCATAGGGTTGTACTTAGTAAAACAAGAAACTTGCAGTATACAAACAGAGTAAACTTGTCCTTCTTCACTGTTCATTTTGTGGAGACATTATAGACACATCTTTACAGTCTTTTACCCTTTTCATAAAATAAACACTAGCAGACATAATAATATTATGGCTTTTGAAATTATGTATTACAATGTTAATTCATAACAAAGACGATGTCCAATTCGTCACTGAATTACCATGTTTTTTGGGACACCCTGTAGTTTCCTAAAAGAGCCTGTTCACGTAAAATTACCCTCAAAATATAGGGAAACTCTAGAAATGGAGGGTCAAATAAAGACGACAGTCACGTTAAGAAAAAAATGGACCCAATCCCATGGTCTCATTCAAAAATTGTAAAACAAACATAAAGAAGAGCATTAAGCACATTAAAGGAACAGAACTTGAAGCCCAAATAAAATGCATAACTTGAATATTAAAAAAATTTCATAATATCCTTTTCATTTTCAGAAATTATAAACTGTATCTATCATCTACTGGGAAAACCAGAAAACAATTGAATAGGAAGACGACATTTTAGCATTACTTAAATGTCTTTGATGTTGATACAAAACAAACAGATTTACTAGATAATTCTTTAATCAGTTAGATTTAGTGAAATAAGCCTGTTTACACTACACAAGTGCTGCATATCATGGTCATTGGACTTTTTAAACTTATAACTTGATTCTAAAAGTCGTCTTTCTATTTCAGAGTTTTCTGGTATCACTGTAAACCAAATGTTTTTGTTGAAAATTATCAAGCAGGTGCATTTGAAATTGTTTAAGTTTTTTCGTTTGATGGGTTTACGATGGGTTTACCTTGATATTTTTGATTGATGGTTTTACCTTGATATTTTTGTTTGATGGTTTTACCTTGATAATTTTGTTTGATGGTTTTACCTTGATATTTTTTTTAATGGTTTTACCTTGATATTTTTGTTTGATGGTTTTACCTTGATATTTTTGTTTGATGGTTTTACATGGATATTTTTGTTTGATGGTTTTACCTTGATATTTTTGATTGATGGTTTTACCTTGATATTTTTTTTAATGGTTTTACCTTGATATTTTTGTTTGATGGTTTTACCTTGATATTTTTGTTTGATGGTTTTACATGGATATTTTGTTTAATGGTTTTACCTTGATATTTTTGATTGATGGTTTTACCTTGATATTTTTAACCTTTTTAGCAAGTGTATTTTAGCTTTTAAGGGAGTACTGCTTAACTAACAGAGTCAAGTAATCATTTATTACTTTGACTTTGCAATATGAAAATGGTATGATCTATATTTCTTATTCATTTAAAAAAAAGCTTTTCAAGGGTCAAGGGGGTGCTTTGGAAATGCCTCACCACGGAAATGCCTAAAAAACAGACTCATAAAACATAGCACACAAGTCAAGGGGGGGGGGGGGCTTAAAGTCTGAAAGTGTACAGGAGATTACCATTTCATTTCCGATAATAAATCATACTGTTTTTATTAGACTTAAACAACTATTAAATGACTATGAGTAAATTTTGATGTTGTGTTATATTTAATCAACAGAGTGTACTGATCAACTGTTAGCCTGCGATAGGTCACAGGAGAGACATGACTCAGGGGATGAGTTGAAAGAGTACACAAAAACTCCGTCACACTTTTAATGAGTAACGTACAAATAGATTATAATTTGGTTGGAAATCAATTCTTACTCGGGCTATATAATTTATAACTAGATTTTAGAAACTTATGAAAACAATTTCTTTTATCTAGGACTGGGGGGGGGGGGCAAATTCGTCATTGCACCCCCCTTTAGAAAGGGGGTGCACCTGCACCCTTGCACCCCCCCCCCTGGCTACGGGCCGGTTTTACCCTCATATTTTTGTTTAATGGTTTTACGTTCATATTTTTGTATGCTTGGATATTTAATGTCCAAATTTGTCAACATTTTCTTCAAACCTTCTTAAAATGATAAAGCAATAAATAATCACTGCTTAAAAGTTCTCATTAAAGTAAACAAAAATTAATATTAAACTTTTTTTTTGATGTAGACATATTTTTATGATATATTTAGGAATGGGCAATAGCCAGATTCGTTTTACAGAAACTTTTAATGTTTTTAGACTTTTAAAAGGGTTTACGACAATATGAGAAGGTTCCCGCATTTTCCCTCTCCTAAAGGCCAAAGAGATTTCGCTCTGTTTTTTTTTGCATGCAGACCTGAATTGTGATCTATTTTTTTTCTTTCTAGATTTTTCCCGCATTTTCCAGTAATTTTTTTCCAAAAACTTTGCGTTAGGTCCATGTGGGGTGTCCAAAGTCATAAACATTGGGTCGGGAAACTCAATTCTGGACTGTATAATCCATTTCCCCCTCTCCTTANCCCCCCCGTTCCCGCATTTTCCCCCTCCAAAAGGCCAAAGAAGCCTTCCGACTTTATTACTAGAGATTTCTCTCTGATTTTTTGCATGCAGACCTGAATTGTGATCTAGTTTTTGAATCAAACACTAGAGTGGGGAAAAAATAATTTTCCCCCTCATTTTTCCCGCATTTTTCAAGCATTTTTTCAAAAGCTTTGTGACATGTGGGGTGTCTAAAGTCATTAATATTAGGTCGGGAAACCCAATCCTGGACTATGTAATGAATTTCCACCTCTCCTTATTCCATTTCCCCCCCCTTGTCCCACCTTTTCCCCCTTCAAAAGGCCACTGACTTTATTACTATAGATTTCTCTCTGATTTTTTTGCATGCAGGCCTGAATTGTGATTGAGATGTAAAGAGATGTCCTCATTTCTGAGATATACAGGATATTATCGTGGTTTCATCCCCAGGTACCAGAAGATGAAGAAGGTGGAACGTTTCAAGTGCAGTCTGATGACATGGAAAAAGACTTGAAAGAGCTAAAAGCTGAGTTTGAAGAAGGGAAAATCCAAGCTTATCCAAATTTCGAGTCAGAGAAGCCTTTATACTTACCACGGATTGGTCTGCATTGAATATTGCTGGAGTACCCTCTGAGAAACAAGATGGAGTGGAACGCTTTATTGGGTGCTGGGGAAGAAAATGCAACCCGTATGAAAAGAATTACCCCAGCTACAAAGGTGAATTTTTGGCATTAGCTAGTGAAGTGTATGACAAGTGGGAGTATATTTTAAAGTACCAGCCCCCCTTTTTAGACACTTAAAGTTTGAAATATATTATGAATCTCAAATCAGACGAAACTATCTTTAATTCAGCATTGGTATGCAGAAACAGCTCAGTTTGAATTCATTGTGATACATAAAAAGGGATCTGAAAATATCAATGCAGATGCCTTATCCAGAGCTAAGCATTTAGATGAACCTACTGCAGAAGAAAATGTAGAGAACCAGATCGATAATGACGTAGGAGAGATGAAGATAGCATTTATGTTTATGTTTATATTGTTAAATAGTTTGAAACCCAGTTTAGGAAGAAAATATTCTTTTATCATAAGATTGTTTTTTTTTTAAGAAAGAGAAGGGAAAAAGAAAAAGGAGAGATGGAAGACCCCACAAAGGAACTGAGTTTTTGTCACACACTTAAACTTTCTTATCCCATTATCTTTGCACCCTGCAGTGTAAACCTTTTAATTTTAAATTCAATCTATTTGATCTAAAATAATCTATAATTTGTAATATCAAAGGTCTACGCCAATGGGTTACAAAAATATTGGAGTTGAATATTCAGAGTTTCTGCGAAAACTCAGTTCCTTTACAACAAGTTTACAGTAATTTCTACATGACAGCTTCGTAGGAAATAAAATGTAATTTTCTCTATTTTATATTCTTTCTGCAATAAAACTGCTCTATGGCGTGCTCGATAAGTTATATTGTGAGATCAGGTTTTTAAAAAATATTTTAAGATGTTTGAAGTCTATTAACGTTCCAACATTACAAAACTATATTCTTTAAGTTTGCTTTAATCAAACTTTGCAAAAAAATTCATCATATAAAACGAAGGATCTCTTAATGATTCGTTTTTGCATATTTTCTCAGGGTTTTAAATCCTTAAAATACAACCCCCCCCCCCCATTAATTTTTATAATATAAATTTCCCTTTTGCTCTACCTAAATTTACTCCTATCCCCCCCTCTTTTATGTTTTAATTCCAAGTCCAACCACCGCCCCCCCCCCATTTCCAACATCTTCTTTTTTCTCTTGATTTATAACCATGAGAAACCTTTATTGAAGATTACTTGTCGAATCTGATCAGCTTGACCTTGCAGGTTCATTAGTGTCATATATATAATTTATTAATTAATTTGCAAGAATTTTATCATAGTGTTCCACTAACTTCTAATGAGAATGGTTATTTTACGCAGATTATTAATGGTGGGTATAAAACTTTAATGTTCAGTTTAACAAAATAACTGTAAGCGTAATGTTCAAGTGACCCTCTATGAAAAGACATGACAAAGGCCGATTCAAAAACGTTAATATCCTTGACTAAACAGGTATGACTTAGATATCCATGTTTTTATTAGATTAAACTGTTTATTTCAGTAATGGTTTCGCTGGAAAATTGACTTGCGCATTTCTTGATTATAAGAAATTATGAGAAAATTTACAGAAATAAACACTTTTCGAGTCGGCAAAACGACGTTATCCTCCACTTTTTGATCAAATTAAGGTTTCAAGGGTACCGTTGTAAATCGGACATTGCTATCTTTGCAAGGATGGTCACTTGACATTACACCTACAGTCCCTTTAATCTTCCTGACAGTTGTTAAGCAACTTGAATATCAGAGGAGGATGAATATATTACTTATCCTCCCTAGGGACTAGGGAGGCAAACTACTTTTTTACACCTTCTATAAATAATAGATTTATTCTAGGAATTTTTTAAAGTAACGCAAATGATAACAATTTGACATGAAGTCCTGTATAAGCGATTGTATATATACTTGGACTAAAAAGAAAGAAGTAAAATATTGCTGAAATTTTGTTTCTATTAAAGGGACCGTTCCTTATTTGGGTAATTTGAGGGTAAACTAAATAGCCTATTCTCTATTCTTTGGTATTAGTATTACTTTTAAAGACAAATGTCCAAAAATAGTTCTCTAGTAAATTACCTACCAATGACATGGCTAATAGGCTAATTAGTTTAACATAAAATTACCCAAATAACAAAAAGATTGAACGACCTAAATATTGCACGTGATTTATTGAAGAGATGGAATCCAGGAACCGGTTTGTTTGAGACAGAAAGTCGTCTTTGTATAAACATGCTAATTTGTTAAATCATGTTTGAACACGAAAATCATTAAATTCTTGGTAATTCTAAAATCAAAAGTTTTTAAATTTTATTATATAATGGCTGACACATGATATGAGATGTCATTGAATATGATAATTCTAGATTTTATTGGGCTGTTCTTACTGAAAAAAAACATTCTAATAGTGTCTATGCATTATGCAAAGGTATCATACCTTTCTGTGGGAATTTTAAGCAATAAATCGGCTTTTTCTCCGGTTATAGATGTCTTTGAAAAGTAAGAATAATACCAATGATATAGCTATTAGGCTAATTCGTTTACAATGAAATTACCCAAAATAAGTGAACGTTCCCTTTAAATATGAAAAATACAAAAAGATTGTACGACCTAAATATTGCACCAAAAACCTGTTTTTTCTTTATAAAATCCTTGGTTCTAAACTGGTCCTCTAGTTTATGTGTTCAATTAGTTTCTTCTTTATGGTTCTTGGTCAATTTATTCCTGTCCCATACATCTCTTCTTATGTTCAACCAATCTAACCACATTCAACGAAAAGGGGAACATTCTTTTACACTAGGGGTTGCAGAGGAAGACATCCCCCCCCCCCGGATTTCATTATTGCTAGACATGCAATGATATGTGCAGAGTTGGTGTTCAGTAGTTAAGTGAGGTTCAAATACAGTATGTCCAACAAAACATGGCAGAAGCAAGACGATTTGAACGTCGTCTTTGATTTTTGATATGATTTTCTGCATTGTCAACCTAATTTTAGGAGTAATATTTTAGAGTTAATTACAAAATACCATCCGTCGTCTTTGCAAAATGGACAGAGATCAGGGACCAAAGGGAATCTGTCTTAAAGGCAAGGATATAATAATGCAAGGAAAGTTAATTAGTTGCGTAAACTCTGCGTTCATATTAAAACCAGTTCTCTCTGGGCAGAATTTGTAAACAAGAATAGATGTATCAGTGTTCGTTTAGTATCCGAGGAGGATAAAAGCATTGAATTTTGAAAATTTTGATAATTCACATAATAGTTTCCTATGACCAATATATTTCATTGATTTTTTTATGTGAAGATGGATCCCATGCCAGGCTGTGACATCCGTCTTTACATTACCGCCCAGAAACAGTGCACTGCAGTACAAAAGATGCGTACACCTCTGAGATCTATTCTTGTTTACAAATTCCGTCCAGAGAGAACTGGCTTCAATATGCACGCAACTGCAATTAACTTTCCTTGCATTATAACCTTGGTACCCATTGCCTATCAGCATTCTATACTCTAACCTTTCTCCATCTCTATAGTTCTTGCATTTCCAAAATGTGGTCGGCTTTTTTGAGCTTTTAATATTACCCGAGAGATGAAGAGTTTCGTTCAGATTTCGACAATTTTGATTTTATTTAACGAAATTAAAATTTGAACGAAATTCTTATCTCAGGTAATATTGACTGCACAAAAAAGGCAGATTACATTTTGGAAATGCCAGGAATAGGAGAATTTTGTGGTTATTGTTTCAAGGTTGACGACTGAATGTCACAAATAAATTCTAAGACCAAAGACGACTTTCAAGTCATTTTACGTGGGACACCCTGTAAGGGATTTTAAGGGACTGTTAAATCAAAGAAGTATTGTAAAATTGTTAGAAACAGGAATCCCAAAAATGAGTCTTCACTTTTCAGCGACGTTTGTACGAAGTTTATACTGTATGTTTTCTTATATACAAGATTCCCTTCTAGTACAAACTAGTTTATTAGAAAAATGCTAGAAGGTAAGTTCAGGGTCCAAAACGGAGTGGATTATAAGTAAATGGTGGGCCCTGGAGTAAAAAAACCGAGATACTGTAACTGATATCGTGTAAACATGACATTGCCTCTCAAGACATCTGCAGTATCAAATGTTACTTGTTTTGGGATTTTCAAAAAGTGGTCTTCCATTTTTGTACCTTAAGAATAGACTGAGATATTGAGAAATTTGTCTAAAATTTAAATTATAAAATACTACCAAGGATGTATAAATCTTTAGTATCTTCGACAATTTCTTTGATACAAAGAAGGCTAAATTTTACCAAGTTTTAAAGACTTATAATGCTTTTCTATACTCCTTTGACGACTATTAACTTTACGAAAAACGCAGACAAATTTTAAGTTCAGGGTCCTATGTCTAATGTACTGCATGACACCCCAGTAAGAAAATCAAACCTAAGGATTGTCATATTTTAATAGCTTCAGGTCGTCTTATATAGTTTCATTCTTTGTGGATAACTCTGTACAGGGTACATCTATAATTAGAAAACATTTTAGATTTTTCTCACGAGCTCACATGTACATGCAGATTACGGGCCAAAGTGTACAACAAAATATGAGACGGTGTACAGTACTGTCTACGATACAGTGTACGAGAAACGATGTTCTACAATCGGAGATCGGTATGTACAAATAGATTATTAAGTACAAGGATTTAATGCAAAGAAAGTTATTTCAGAGCCCGAAATTTAAAAGAGTATCGTTGAACGAAACTTCCGAGTTTCTGTTCTGGGGTCTTAGGATTTGTGTAGATTTTGATTTAAGAGATTCGAAAAAAATGGAGAATATAAACAACTTGAAAAACATAATATTCATTACAAGAATATTGATATTCACAAAACTGCCTAACCCCATTCGCGAAACCCGGGTTTTAAAACTGGTTTTCATTACGATACTCTGACTTAAGTTTTGGGCTCAGAGGTGTATGCTTCTTTTGTACTTCAGTGTACTGTCGCTGGGCGGTAATGTAAACACAAGACGGATGTCAGAGCCAGACATGGGATCCATCTTTCACATAAATAACCAATGAAATAGTCTGGTCACAGGAAACTATTATGTGATTTATCAAAATTATCAAAATTTAATGCTTTTAACCTCCTCGGATACTAAACGAACACTGATGCATCTTTACAAATTCCGCCCAGAGAGAACTGGTTTCAATATGTACCCAGAGTATACGCAACTGCAATTAAATTTCCTTGCATTACATTCTTGATTAAGTACGTACAATAGGTGGCAACATAGAAATCGACCTATTAAACACGACGTCACAAGTGTCAACTATAACAAAGAAGATAACATGTTCTACCATTAGTTGACATGTTTTCAAAGATTAAATCAAAAACTGTAAAAAACACAAAATAAAAAAACACGAAAGCTCATTATTTCAAAGCACTTAGTTATCACTATTTTTAATCATTTAGTCGGACAAATAAAGCTGTTGACACTTGTGACGTAAGAATACAGCTGAACTGAGAGTGTACAAATTCTTAAGAATACAGTTGAACTGAGAGTGTACAAATTCTTAAGAATACAGCCGAACTGAGAGTGTACAAATTCTTAAGAATACAGCTGAACTGAGAGTGTACAAATTCTTAAGAATACAGCTGAACTGAGAGTGTACAAATTCTTAAGAATACAGCCGAACTGTGAGTGTACAAATTCTTAAGAATACAGTTAAACTGAGAGTGTACAAATTCTTAAGAATACAGCTGAACTGAGAGTGTACAAATTCTACGTTACCATCTATTGTACTAGAATGTATGTCACTGCAAACTTGACAAAAGGAGACGTTGATATTCATGCAACACTATTAATTCGACTTTTTGACCTCGTAGCTTCTCTAGGATCGATTTTCCGCACATGTATGAAAAAAAACAAGTTTATCCGGTTATATCAGAGAAATTTATATTTACCTCTTTAAAGGGAGTGTTCACGAAAAATGAAAGGGGGTATAGGCTTAATGGGATAAAAAAGCGCTTTTGATCGCTACTAATCTTACTTCTATCTGTTGCGTCTATAAGGAGAAAATTGATAAAGACGTCTCATACCGAAGAGCGTAGCGCCCAAACAAATTGAGGAAGTTGGAACATACGACTTAGACCGTAACAAAATCAAATTAATATCAAACAAATCATTCAGATATTACAACCTATAGTCATCGATTATCTTTCGCTACATTTGTATATATCTGATATTTCATACTAGTTTTGATTTTGTTTTTTAAAATAATATTTATTGTTTTCGAACTTTCCTGGAAAATATGAAAATGTCGTCTTAATTACCAAAAATCCTCGAAACAGGAATAAATGTTTTTATAAGTAACTCTCAGATCATAACAATTAAAACATATTATGAAAAATCAACTATATATAAATGTGGCGAAAGATAATCGATGACTATAGGTTGTAATATCTGAATGATTTGTTTGAAATTAAATTGATTTTTTACGGTCTAAGTCGTATGTTGCAATTTTCTCAATTTGTATGGACGTCATGTTATTCGGTATGAGACGTCTTCAACAATTTTCTCTTTATAGACGCAACAGATAGAAGTAAAATTAGTAGCGATAAAAAGCGCTTTTTTATCGCATTAAGCCAATACCCCCTTTCATTTTTCGCGAACACTCCCTTTAAGAAAAGGATTTATGCTCGAAAGCATAAATAATTCCAATCTTATTTGTATGAATTAATCGGGTTCAATTAAACATTCAATTGTTTGTTTAATTAATGCATCTTTTGCTTAGATATTGGGTACTTTCCAAAAGGCATTTTCCAAAGCGGCAACTTCCAAAGGGTATTTTTTTCCAACAAGTGGCAACTTCCCAAGTCAGTCCAAGCCATAGCGTTCGGCCACCGTTGTAGCTTGCGGCGCCTAAGAAGTCAGAAGGCCTCACCTAATCTTTGGGAAGTTACCCCTTGGAAAATTGCACATTTGGGAAGTCGCTCTTGTGAAAATGCCTTTGGGATAATACCTTAATATTTTTCTATAATGCTATTTACATCTACTATTTACATCTACTATTTACATCTACTATTTACATCTACTATTTAGATCTACTATATTTACATTTAACTTATTCAGACAATGCAAAACCATACTGAGCACAACATATGAGAAGAAAGTTGAAACACAAGTAACAATTTTAATATTAATGGAAATAATAGTATACTTTATACTATATAGTAAGAATAATAAAATTAATAGAATATTTTTAAATTAAAACTAATAATAATGATAATAGTTGTATAGTACAATTGTCGTCGTTTGTATCAATGCAATATAACGACTACTATTATATTTAAGTTTTAATTTATAACAACTAAACGTTAACTGAATCTGTTAATTGACAGCTTCTTTGTTTTCATTTTTTATTTGCATCAAACTGTTTATAACCTGGTAGAAATCGAAATTTTAATAGAAAGTCGTCTTCATTGTATTGATATAATCGCCGACCGTTATAAGAAAATTTATTTAAATAGCGAAGTATCTATTGATATTTGCAATAACAATTATAATTTTAAAAACAATCTTATTTTAAATGTTTTTCACCAGTGCCATCCTTCGTATGAATCCAAGTGTAAAACAGTTTACAAGACCGGATACAGGAAATACTGTACAGTTGTACAGGAACTAGAGTGCAAAACTATACATAAGGTGAGACAACTTTTTTAAAATTTATTTGAGTAGAGATACATTATTGACTTCACAATTTGCTACAAACTACAGTGATAAACAGAAAACTCTGGAATAGGAAGACGACTTTTAGAATCAAGTAATCACTTGAAAAGTTCAAGGCATAAAACATAGATGTGTGCAGTCCATACAGACTTTAATGTCGTCTTTCTATTCCATTATTTCTGTTATCACTGTACTCATGTCTTCTTATGTAATAAAATCAATCACGTATTCTACTATTCTGAACAAAATATGGGTGATATCGCTCAAAATCGCTTTTATAATTATAATGATGTATTAACACACAAAGATATTATACAGTATACAGTGTACTTTTCATATACAGGGTGTCCCAAGAAACATGACCGCAGGGGCGTATATAGGGATTTTCTAGGGGGTGGGATGGGGGGGGGGGTAAAATTTGAAATTTGCGCGCATAGAAAATTTCCCCCCCCTTTCCCCTAGAAAAATATAAACCCACCAAATGATGTATATCAAATTATTGGTTTAAGTGTTGGGTTTGACTTAAATTTTCCACCCATTTCTGACAATAACAAACTCTATCAAATAAAGGCTTTCACCTTGTTTTATATTATAATATTATAATAATTTTACTATAAGAGGAAAAAGATGCTATACTTCTTGTCGTCATGTCTCCTTTCATGTAGTACGACTGAGGAAGTTGGGTAGATGGCTTACAGCGAAATGCCGCAAAAACTTCTAATTCATGAAAATAGTCGTCTTTACACATGTTTTTTATAAGGTGGTAAAAGCAGACTAATCAATAGGGAATGATTTTTTTGGAGGGGAGCTACTGGGGAGTTGTACGGGCAGTACGTGAGCAATTCCTGCTATTAAGGGGTAATTACCTCCAGGATTCTAGGGGGGGGGGGTGATCAACCCCAGGATTCTAAGGGGGGGGATGTACCCCATGGTTGTAGGGAATTACCCCAGGATTTAAGTAGTCTTTGATCTTTACTTTTAGTTGAGACTATCAGTCGTCAACCTTCTTTCACATGTAGGATTCTTGAAATATAACCAACCAAATTCGCATGGGATTTCCAGAATGAGGTCTGTTTTTTGTGCTGTTAATATTACTGAAGATATTGAAATTTTGTTCCAAGATTTCAATTTTTTAAAATAAAACCAAAATCGTCGAAATCGTCGCAAAATTAAACATATCTTCGGTAATGTTGAGAGCACAACAAAAGCAGACCACATTTTGGAAATGCTAAGACTAGGGGTATTTTGTGACTTTATTCTAGACTTTTAATTCTAAAATTTGATTTCCTAATAAATGCTGTAAATTATTTTAAGGATCAAAGACGACTTTTAAGTCTTCTTGCTATTGCCATGTTACGTGGAACTCCCTACAGTACCTTGAATATATACATTCTCAGAATTCTTGCTAATTCTGTGCTGGTGAAGATCCTAATATAAAACTCTCCAATTGCAAGTGGTAAAGAATGCATTAAAATTAAACCTATGCTTGACTTAATCCTTATAGGTTTAAAGCTTGTTCCCTAAGATTTGGTGTTGAAAATTTAAACCCCCCCCCTTCATACTTCCCTCCCCCCCTTTGCAAGTACTTGATGTAAGAAACCAAAATAAGTGTCTTAGCATTCTACAAATTCTATAAAAGAAACCCCTACAGGTTTGTAATTAGATTTTCCTTTGTACATTTCTCTATACCATCCTTCCAAAAGAATCAGTTTTGTCAATTACCATATATCTCACTGTATAATACATTTTTCTATACAATCCTTCATATATCTAACTGTATAATACATTTCTCTATACCATCCTTCATATATCTAACTGTATAATACATTTCTCTATACCATCCTTCATATATCTAACTTTATAATACATTTCTCTATACCATCCTTCATATATCTAACTGTATAATACATTTATATATACAATCCTTCATATATTTAACTCTGTACTATAATACATTTCTCTATACCATCCTTCATATATCTAACTGTATAATACATTTATATATACAATCCTTCATATATTTAACTCTGTACTATACATTCCTCTATACCATCCTTCATATATTTACCTCTGTACTATACATTACTTTGTACCATCCTTCATATATTTACCTCCGTACAATACATTTCTCTATACCACCCTTCATGTATTTAACTCTGTACAATACATTTCTCTATACCATCCTTCATATACAATACATTTCTCTATACCATCCTTCATGTATTTAACTCTGTACAATACATTTCTCTGTACCATACTTCATATACAATACATTTATCTATACCATTCTTCATATATTTAACTCTGTACAATACATTTCTCTATCTTTACCATCCTGCATATATTTAACTCTATACAGTACATTTCTCTATACCATCCTTCATATATTTAACTCTGTACAATATATTTCTCTATCTTTACCATCCTTCATATATTTAACTCTGTACAATACATTTCTCTATACCATACATCATATATTTAACTCTGTACAATACATTTCTCTATACCATACTTCATATATTTAACTCTGTACAATACATTTCTCTATACCATCCTTCATATATTTAACTCTGTGTACAATACATTGCTCTATATCATCCTTCATATATTTAACTCTGTACAATACATTTCTCTATACCATCCCTAATATATTTAACTCTGTACAATACATTCCTCTATCCCATCCTTCATATATTTAACTGTACATTTCTCTTGTAAGTAATTGTAACTGTAAAATTCTTTTGTTTCACAAAAATTTCGCATTCTTTTCCTAGAAAAACATGCAAACTTTTTTGTTTTTATATCGTGAAATTTCGTTTGCAATTTTCCTCTACTACCCAGACAAAATTATGGCAATATTATTATCATAATTATAAAGATTTAGAGATAAAGAAATACACAAAGATAACATAAATTAAACATTTGGATTTTTTAGTTTAAACAAATGGACGTTTTTTTAGTCAATATCGAAAACTGTATATGAGAAAAAGTGTAAGACAGATTACAAAGAGAGCTGTGAGTATGTGGGTTACGGATATCATAAAAAGAAGGTAAAAATAATGTACAAACAATATATATATATATATATACTTTGCTTGTTTGTCTGTCAAAACGGATGAACTGGGCGATTGGGCCTTAAGAAATTAAGTCTTTTCCGCAATCTCAAATTTTCTAATCCCAATATATTTGCATATATTACAAGCATAGATTATTTGATCAAACAGAATTCAAAGTTTGATTGCAAAGATATAAGGAGTAGAAAATCAGAATTTAAAATTGTATTCTGTAGAAGTTTGCTTTTATCAAACATGCAAATTTGTTATCCTAGGTGAAAACATAAGGCAAAAACGAACCAAAACTATCGTTTTAAAAACCCCAAAACGGTTGTTTTGCCTTATATTTTCTTCTACGGTAACAAATTTGCATGTTTAATGAAAGCAAACTTCTAAAGTTTTAAAATATTGGAACCTAAAAGTTTCTATAAAATAAATATGGCTATTGCCCATCCCTATGCGTACTTTGCGTAGCATAGTATTTGTAAACTTTTGTAATATTAATGTACTTTGGAATCTTTTCAAGGTGAATCACAAATCCCGGTTGTGCGTGAACTTTTAAAAAAAAATTTCCGTTTCCTACAATTTATACCTTTTTGAAAATTAAGAATTTCAGATTTTTAAAGGTTGAGTTTCGAAAAAATAAGTTTTTAAAGCACACACTACACAGATAAAGCAACGTTTATATGAGGTCGGTTTGGAAAACTCAATTTTAAATTCGATCCTGGTGGAACCTGAAAAGAAAAGGGGTTCTCCCCCAAAATTACGTCAGCGGAGACTAAGGATAAAATAGATTACAAAAGTTACTTTTTGTTTCCGAAAAGGAGTAAAACCATGGCATGTTGTAAAGGTTATAAATATATTTTTCAGACAAAAAGTCTATTCGATTTTCTTAATTGCCACACTCAAAATGAGTTTACAAAAGTTCTCATTTTCAACTATACAGTCAAATGCATCGTACATTTTATTTTTTAGGAATGTAAAAGTATTCCTCAAAAGTACTGTGAGAATGTGCCCAAAGATATTCATTCCTCTAAACCTGAGAAAAAATGTGAAAAGATTCATAAACAAAGATGTCACGAAGTTCCCCAACAAGGTCAGAAACCATTGAAAAGGAATTGAGTCTTGTCACTCTTTGCCCTATATTCATATTTTCTAATGCTTTATCTTTGCAACCTGATTGTATACTGCTTTGATAGTTTAAACTTAATCTTTCAAAATCTATAATTTGAATTATCTAAGGTCTTTGCGTTGCAAAGATAGAATATCCAAATTGGTGGCAAAGGTTCAATTTCTTTATGAAATAATTTTCGTTTATGCAGTTATTCTCTAATTTTTACAACAAATTGTATTTGAATAATGTTCATATTGTTATTTTTGCTAACATTTACAAAATCGTTATTGTCAAATGTTTACTCAGTGTCTTATAGTCTTATTATTAATATTATCATTATTATAATTATTATTGTTATTGTTGTTAAGTACTGTTTTGTACATGTGTATTGTCATTGGTATCATTGTTAACAGTTGAATAATAGTTATTGTTTAACTGTTTATTCAGCTTCTTACATTGTTATTTATTATTACAGTGATAAGCAGAGAAATGTTTAATAGGAAGACGAATTAAATCACGCATTGAGTGAAATGGGTCTGTTTACACTGCACAATTGTCTCATGTTAAGTCTGAAAGTCTTTTTGCTGGTTTTCTGGGTTTCATTGTATTATAATTTGTATTGTTGTTGTTAAGTTCCCCAGGAGAAATGTTTTCATGTACTGTATTATAATTTGTATTGTTGTTGTTAAGTTCCAGAGGAGAAATTTTTTCATGTACTGTATTATAATTTGTATTGTTGCTGTTAAGTTCCCGAGGAGAAATATTCTCATGTACTGTATTATAATTTGTATTGTTGTTAAGTTCCCGAGGAGAAATGTTTTCATGTACTGTATTATAATTTGTATTGTTGCTGTTAAGTTCCCGAGGAGAAATGTTTTCATGTACTGTATTATATTTGTATTGTTGCTGTTAAGTTCCCGAGTAGAAATGTTCTCAAGCACTGTATTATAATTTGTATTGTTGTTAAGTTCCCGAGGAGAAATGTTCTCAAGCACTGTATTATAATTTGTATTGTTGTTAAGTTCCCGAGGAGAAATGTTCTCAAGCACTGTATTATAATTTGTATTGTTGTTAAGTTCCCGAGGAGAAATGTTTTCATGTTCCGAAGCAAACTTGTGAAAATGTTCCAACAGAAATACCTGTTGCAGTTCCAAAGGTATTTTCTCAACCAAAATTATTATAAAAAATGTCAATTTTTGTTCCGTTGCTAGAACTAAAAAAATTAACAATCATACAATTGTGACTCTAAGTAAGATATTTAAATTAAAATTAAAACTGTTTATGTATAGGAAACCTGTTTTGAAGTACCGCGAAAACATTGCAGTACAGTTCCTGTAAAAAAGCCCAGAATAGTTCACAAAAAAGGAAACTATAGCTAAATATAAAGAGACTTGAGTTCTGATATGGGGTTAGCGTATCTAAACATTCTTAATTCCATTTTAAAGGGACTCCATGAAAAGATGGCAATACCCTTGAAATCTTCGACTGATCATTGAGGCCTGAGAATACTATTTTATCTAATACTGTTTTTATCTATTAAATAGGGTTACCCATGGTCAAGTTTTAAGACAATGGCGCAACACAAAACGTTTGGGTACATGACTTTTAATCGATCTTGAGCAAGACAAAATAATAGAAAGACCTTTATAATAAACTGGAAATAGATTTATTGATAAATCGTTTTATTCATATGCGTGAGCTTGTGGCCACATCCCTTAACTAAAATAAATTATTAAAGTTTGAAAAATCTACTAAATAGTGTTCGAATTGCCGTAAACTTTACACAGCTGAGCTACATACGAGCACCTAGATATAAAATGTTTATTTTCTGCGACTTCTAGAAAGTAAATATTAATATTCGACATCCTAGATCAGTCACAGCTTTAAAGGGCACTATTGTGAATCGTACACGTCAATCTATCAATGAAGGGTCGTCATAAACAGTCTACAGTCCCTTTCAGGGTATTTTCCATTTTTAACATTTTTAACTGGGGGGGGGGATAATGTTTTTGGAAAAACAATTTTTGATTCCAATTTTCTATAAAACATTGTTTAGCTTAGTGTTCTTTAGTTCCTAGAAATACTTGCGAGTATGTGAAGGAAATCAAACATGAAGAAGAATATGGTCATGGAGGTTATGGTCATGGTGGTGGTGGATATGGCCATGATGATCACAGTGGTGGATATGGCCATGATGATCACAGTGGTGGATATGGCCATGATGATCACAGTGGTGGATATGGCCATGACGATCATGGTGGTGGATATGGCCATGCCGATCATGGTGGTGGATATGGCCATGATGATCATGGTGGGGGTAAGGGTGGTGGAGTTTATGTAGATCATCATAATAGAAAGGTTGATATTGTCAAGGAACCTGTTTATGTTCAAGATAATCACAGTGGTGGATATAGTCATGATGATCATAGTGGGGGTAAGGGCGGTGGAGTTTATGTAGATCACCAGGATGGTGGTGGATATGGCCATGATTATCATAGTAGTGGATATAGCCATGACGATCATGGCGAGGGTTATGGCCACGCCGATCATGGTGGTGAATATGATCATGATGATGGTGGGGGTAAGGGTGGTGGTGTTTATGCAGATCATCATGATAGCAAGGTTGACAAGGTCAAGGAACCTGTTTATGTTCCAGTAAGAAAACACAACTATCCAAGGTAATAGATAATTTTATTTTAAATGTGAATAAAATAATTCTAAAATTACCAGTGTCCACTTTATCACCCTGCGATTCAAATTTCAAATTTCTCACCAAATATTTTCCGCTGTCGGGTGATAAAGTTAATTTTTATCTTTTCTTTTCGTTGGTCTATTTGTCTAAATGAACAAAAAATGCTTTCCGCTCTTTTTATAGCATAATCTTGGTCAATAACCCCTGAGACCAACTGAAGTTATTAAGCAAAGGAAGTAATTTTTTTCGCATTTAGTAAATAAATACATCCCAAAAAAATAAGAAAGTTTTGTCGTCTCGAAAATAAAAATATCTATTTATATATCTATTAATACTACTAACACTGGAAATAATAAACTTCAGCCAGGATTTTTTTCGTGACTTTTGGAGTTTTTAAAATAAAAAAAAATAATTGGAGAAATGTTCTCAAGCACTGTATTATAATTTGTATTGTTGTTAAGTTCCCGAGGAGAAATGTTCTCAAGCACTGTATTATAATTTGTATTGTTGTTAAGTTCCCGAGGAGAAATGTCAAGAAAATAAACATCCTATTTTAACGCAGATAAATAAAAATTTTATTTTCTGTGACTTCCAGAAAATAAATAATAATTTTTTTGGGAAAATATAATTACAATTTAAAAATTGATTTATTTGCTTAGTTATAAAAAGAGTTCAACAGTTCCCGAATACTTGAAATATCCTCCCAAAGTAAGAAAATAGTTTCAATTTATGTAAATATTTATTTTGTTTATATCATTAGATCATTAGATACAGGGTGTCCCACGAAACATGACAGTTGGTAAATAGTTTAGAATGTCTTCTTCCTTAATTTGTAAAGTTGTTTAATACCAAAGACAATATTAAAAATATTATATAGGAGTCATATTATAGTAAAATTAACTTCAAAGTAGAATATATTTGAGCAAAAGATTTTTTAATCGAAATAAACTTCAAACCTTTAATATCTAATACAGGGTATGGAAGACGTCATTCAGACCTATTTATCAACTGTCATGTTTCGTGGGACACCCTGTATGTTTACCTTGGCTTTAAAAACATCAAAATTGAAATTAATGGTTCATATCCAAAAATATGATAAATTGAAAATATATTTCAAATTTTATATTTCAATGTATTTTTTTAGAAAGCACCAAATCAATACATTTTTTTATATTTTTGTTTCAATTGTTATTTAAATTCCTTTTCAGTGTTAAAATTGACAGTAAATACCTGATTAATGTTTAAGGCTGAATCTCGGTTAGACTCGGAGTCCCTGAGTTATAATTTGGCAGATATTAAACAAGGTATAAATATTTAATATTTTTTTTTTTTTTTAAAAGTAGAAATATTCCAGGGACCAAATTTAATGAATTTGAGCTAGGTCGTTGAACTACCTACTATCCTACCCTTTCCTTCGTGCAGAGCCAATGACATCAAAACTAATGTGTTGACCCTTGCCGGTATCTATAAAAGTATTTTGTTTGATTGGGCAAACACTTTAAAAATTGTCTTTGTCGTGAAAAAAATAATGGTTATTTAATAATTTGAAAGGGAGACGACTTTTACAAGGAAACCCCATTTTTTTGTTTTCCCCTTCAATAGCACATTGTAAGAACAAATGAGCATTTATTTGTGTAAAATAATAATTCTAAATGTTTAAAAATGGTTTTGATGTCTAAAATTGTGTTGAAATGATTAAAAACATATGGTTGCCTCTCAATACATGACACCGGCGGTGCAAGTTAGACTCACTGATTCAAAGCTAAAGATTAAAGAAGGTTTGAATCGATGGTCCAAGGTTTGAACCGGTGGTAGGAGGTTCAGCGACCTTTCCAATTTATTAAATTGAGCTTCTCCGGTTATTTTAATGTTATCGTCTTTAATTAAACTGCGTTTTTCAACTCAGATTAATCTTAGATTGATTTTGTTTAAAATCTCTGTGAATTAAAAATGTTTTATTAAAAAGATCGAAACGCAGTTTTTTTTTCATAAAATAAGGTTGATAAGAACTATTAGAAAATATGATGGGATCATGAGAAAATCTGAAATTTTAGAAAGACGACTTTTAGTCTACTTCTAACTGTGTAACTGACGTGTAAAACAATTAAAAACGTTCCATATCTAGCGATAGGCAATTGATAGATTAGTTTTACAAAAACTTTCAATATTTTTTTACTTTTAAAGGTTTTACGACAATCTGGGAAGGGTCCAACGATTTAAAATTGTATTCTGTAGTAGTTTGCTTTTATCAAACATGCAAATTTGTTATCCTTGGTTAAAATATAAGGCGAAAACGAATCAAAACTATCGTTTGAAAACCAAAAACTATCGTTTTAAAGCGATCGTTTTTGCCTTTCTCCTAGGGTAACAAATTTGCATGTTTGGAAAAGGAAACTACTTCAGAATAAAGTTTTAAAATGTTGGAACCCTCTCACATTGTCGTATAACCTTTTAATAGTCTAAAAACATTAAAAGTTTCTGAAAAACGAATCTGGCAATTGCCCACCCCTATGACCATATCCATTGCATGTTCTATTTAAACCATATCTTTAAGGTAAAAATGTTGAGAAAATACCAGCAGAGCAGAGTGCTTCACAAAATGTAGTAATTCCTGGAAAGGATGCAGTAACGGTAAGAAATTTAAATTAAAAAGACCCCAGACTACAATGAAGACGACTTTTTATCAAAAACAAATACTATCAAAACAACAGTTTACAAGTAAACAAAGAGACGCTGATAATAGATATACTTGGCTGTGTTTTATTAATGTTTAAGCGTCTCCGCTGTGTGAAACCTTGGTAGAATTAAAAATTGAAATTCAAAATTTGAAAATACATCATTTAAAAGAAATATTTTCTAATTGTTCAATTAATTTTGTTTGTTTCCAGTATCATATATTGAAGAATTGTGTGTCCTACACTCTAAATTCTGAAATAAAAAAGAGTCGCAATTATGTCAACAAAAAAATCTCTGATATGGCAGCCATCTAACTTGTGCGGCCAAATAAGCGATAAAGTGCATAGTGTGAATTATTACAGGAACCTGGTATTTCTAGCCCTGCAGTAGAAAATCATAAACCTGGTATTTCTAGCCCCGCAGTAGAAAATCATGAAAAGAAAACAGCTGATAGTTCAAGTAAATCAACAGAGGAAAGAATACCACTATAATCAAAACAACTTGATCGACGGGAATTGATCGAAAAAGTGTACTTTAATGAGGGGAGGAAGGCCAGCCACAAAAATTTCTCGCCCGAGCCACATTCTCTTCATTTTCTCGGCCGAGCCACCTCGAAATCCTCGTCCTTCAATTACTTTGTGTTAAAAAGTTTCCAATTCTTGAAGATTTTTAAAAATCTGGCCACGTTAGGGCATAAAATATGGATGGACTAAAGTATTGCAATGATTATATCATGTTGGAATCTTTAAACCCATGAGAATGATGTCACACTTTATTTAGGTAAAACTTAAATCTCTTCTGCCTCCGTAATGGCTAACCTTCATGATATAAAATAAACAGCAAAATATTCGGCATACCTCTGCCTATAATTTTCCCCGTGGAACCAGCCGGAAAAATTCTATGGTAATCACTATAGTTAACAAAAAAGATTGAAGTTCTATAAACTTGAAATTATTTGCGGCATTCTACACCGGGAGTATCTGAAAATGCGGGTAAAAAATGTGAACATTTTTAAAGACATTAAACTTGAAATCTTTAATTCAACTGAAACTTTTTTTTTCGATTTACAAAAATTTGATTTTTCATTTATGCCCTAACATGGCTTGATTCTTAAAAAATAGTTTTATCTGGAAGGATTAGACACTTTAAAAAAATAATATTGAAAGGACGAGGATTTCGAGGTGGTTCGGACGAGAAAATGAGGAGAATGTGGCTCGGGCGAGAAATTGTTGTGGTGGCCCTCCCTCCCCTCCTCTAATAGTTCAGGATACAATAATTTAACATGTATAAATAACGAACTATAGCGGTTTTTTTTATCTTCCCTTTTCAGCTTTTTCTTTCTTCTTTTTCACTCTTTTATCTTGTTTTTCCTACTTGCTCCTTCTTGCTCCTTCTTTCTCCTTCTTAATCTCCTACATTCTCCTTCTTTCTCCTTGTTTTTCCTTCTTTCTCTTTCTTTCTCCTTCTTTCTTCTTCTCTCTTCTTCTTTCTCCTTCTTTGTCCTTCTTTCTCCTTCTTTTTCCTTATTTTTCCTTTTTTCTCCATCTTTTTTCTTCTATTTCCTTCTTTCTCCATCTTTTTTCTTCTTTTTCCTTCTTTCTCCATCTTTTTTCTTCTTTTTCCTTCTTTCTCCATCTTTTTTCTTCTTTTTCCTTCTTTCTCCTTCTTTCTCCTTCTTTCTGATTCTGCATATGCACCCAATGTATACACAGGTTCCCTTTCTGATCAACTCTTGAAGTGGTTTCATCTGGTATTCTTCCTGGAGAAGAAGGTTGAACGAGGAAACAGTATGAGTGATCTCTTTAAAGGCATACATAGCTCACGCCGGAGAAAATCTTACAGGAAATAATATTGATATTGATAGTGTTAGAATAATTGTTTTTTATTTTTTTGTTTTATTTTTTTGCCAAGGTTTTACTGATCAGCAAAGCACACAAGGTTAATTTTATTTTAGGCATTTACCTTAAATAAGGTTTCGTATAAAAGATTTGTTCTGTCCAGAAAAAAAATAATAAAACTTTCAAAGTTGAAAACAAATATATTTGATCGCCAAAAGTTCATGAAAATTTTGTCCTCCATGACTAAGAAACTTATGGTAGGGTCATTTTTGGGGCACCCTTTATATAAAGAATAAAAAAATTATGGGTCATTTTTGGGACACCCTGTTTTTAAAATTGAAAATAAATTGATCAAGATTATGATTTGAAAAACTAAATATTGATACTATTAGACCTGGACATGATTCACGCAAGGCTACAGTCGATGTTCTTGATGATACTTCGTTTGATGCATTTACTCTGGACAATGATTCACAACATTTTCTTTTTTCTCTTTCAAGTCAGGAGTATCATGGACTCTGGAGATAAATAATTGAAAAAAAAATTTATTTTAAACTTTATTATACATACATTGACACGGTTAAAACCATTAAAAATATTGGGGGGGGGGGGGGTAAAAATTGTTAGAATATCCTGTAAATTTATTATTTCTATTCGAAAATACATTAGATATTGTTCAATTTCTGTGTGTGTATGTTTGTCTGTGAAAAGAGAGAGATAGAGACTTACTGTTCATTTGAAAAGGAAATTAAACTAATTAAGATTCCCCCACTGGGGGACATTTAAAACTATTTAGAATTAAAGGAGGGATTAGAGGATATAAAGATAATATCTCTCAAACCTTTATCAAATATCACAGTTTTTCGTTTTATTGAACAATTATACAAGTATTTAATTGTTTTTGTTTTGCATTTGTTTTTTATTTGAATTTTAAATTACCAATTATTATTTTTTGTTTGTTATTTATTTAGGAAATTAACAACATGCACAAGGAAAACAAATATTCAACACGACGGATTATTTTTTCTTCTTGAAAAACTCTAGGATGGCCGAATTCTAGTGATTAATTAAAAAAACTGAGATGTGTAGATCGTAGGCATATATTGTCTCAGATGCATAAGGTTTTTAGTGCTAAGCTCCTAAGGAGGGATTAGAGGATATAAAGATAATATCTCTCAAACCTTTATCAAATATCACAGTTTTTCATTTTATTGAACAATTATACAAGTATTTAATTGTTTTTGTTTTGCTTTTTTTATTTAAAATTACTAATTATTATTTTAGGAAATTAACAACATGCACAAGGAAAACCAATGTTCAACACGACGAATTATTTTTTTTTCTTGAAAAACTCTAAAATGGCCGAATACTAGTGATTAATTAAAAATACTGCGATTTGTAGATCGTAGGCATATATTGTCTCAGATGCATAAGGTTTTTAGTCCTAAGCCCAAAGTTTCCAGAATACATTCTCGGAATGTATAATATAAGCAAGTATGACTGCACGTAAGATTGAAAATTAACTCCTCTTAATATAGAGCATCGAGAAGAAATAAAGTCTTGTGAATTTATGATATGTAATCTGATCATTCTTGTGTATAAAATCAAAACTAATGGAGCTACGAGGTCACAAAGCCGTACCATAAACTTAAACTTCTCTTTTGTCTACTTTGCAGTGAAGAACATGTGGTTATAAATCAAGCTGCCGTGTTAGAAATAGTGTATACCAAATGCATTATAACTACAATATTTCAGTCTTGACCCGGCATACAGGCTTAACCCGGCATTCTTAAGTCTTGACCCGGCATTCAACAGTCTTGACCCGGCATTCAACTCAGTCTTGACCCGGCATTCAAATCAGTCGCAACCTTGACTCCCAGTTCCGTGGTGATGTCCCAGATGACTCCCAGTTCTGTGGTAATGTCCCAAGTGACGCCCACTTCCGTGATCCAAGAGACTCCCACTTACGTTGTAAGGTCCCAAGAGAGTACTACCACTTCCATTGTGAGAACCCAGAAGACTCCCATTTTCGCCGTGAGTTCCCAAGATACTCCAACTTCCCTGGTGAAATCCCAGGAAACTCCCCAGTCTATACTAATGTCCCAGAAAAAATCTGTATCCAGTTCCAAGAGAACTGGTCAGTCATCTGCGCAAAGGGAAAGGGAGCAGAGAAATGAACAACATAAAAAAATTGAAGAATTAAACGTATTTTTGGCCGCGGAGTGCAAACAATTTTTAACACTCAAATAGAATTATTCCACATCATATTAGATATTTACAATTGATTGTAATAATGTATGTTAAATGCTATTGTAATGATGAATGTAAGGAAATCTAACTATAAATTAGTATGTATGCAAACGATAAGCTTTACTAAAATAAATATTTAGGTATTAAAAATAATTACAATATGAAAACAATTTCAATATATTTATAATTTACACTAAGTTAGGCCCAGCTAAATATCCCTAAACTATTGATCTCAAATTTGACACTTTTTATGCTTTTTGTTCTGTATACAACATAAAAAACCCCAAACAATGATTACATTTTATTTTTAAAAAGTACGTAAAATTTATCGAATTTTTCTTTTCTATTTAGAATTTTTATTTGAAATCTCTAAATTTATAATTTCTGGTATCAAAACTAATTAATATAATAAGTAGTGGCCTTAATTACAAAATTACAGACTATCAGATTATTCTTGCATGATAATATTCAGATATATAATGATAATTAGTTTATAAAATTAATCTTGGAAAATAAACTAAATTTGCGAAATCATTTTATTATGAGAATTATAATAAATTGGGATTTTATTTATTTCTAAAGAACAATTTAACTTTAGAACAGTTTGTACTAAAACATTTAAATATATTTAGTCTTTGTCTCAAACTCTAGTTTTCTAAATTTAATTTTATACAGCCTGGGGGGGTCTGAAACAATGTTTAGCCGGGGGGGGGGGCATATAATCCCCATCTCATAGAAAAAGGCCTTAGAGAATAGGTATATGGTTGAAATGCATGTTCATAGCCAAATTTTTTAAATCCAACTCATTGAAAAAATAGACCAATAAAATGCCAAAAAAAAAAGGTAAAAAATGTAAAAATATAATTTCTTGTTTTAACAAATATCATAAATCAAAAATATAGTTTTTAGATCTTCAGTTTTAGTCACAAAGTTATGGGCTACAGTGATAACCATAAAACTCTGGAATAGGAAGTAGACTGAATATATCACAATAGTGTAATGAACATGAGGCAGAGCAGTTGTATAATGTAAACACACCCATTTCACTTAATAAGTTATTTAATAACTTACTAGTAAAGCTATTTGTTTTGTAACAGCATCAAATGCACTTCCGTATTCCTTTAATGTTGTCTTCCTATTCCACACTTTTCTGATTTTCACTGTATTTTAGATTTTGTTTACACAAAAATTTTACAAAAAAATAATTTAAATTTGTTTTCATGAAAAGTCTCAAAATTCATGTTGAAAGTGTCATAGACGAGAGTTAATATCTTTGCAACCCAATGTGTAAGCCATTAGATATCAAATAAATCAACTGTTAAATCAAATCAAGGTTTGAAATCTCAAAGGTTGGAAAGATATTAGAAATTTGAGTTTGTGCCAAAGACTCAATTCTTTTCTTCATTTTGTTCGTTCATCGTTCATGAACGGCCCATTTAGTTCGTTTTTCAAAATTATCGTTAATTTTTCATCTATTTCGGTAGTTTTCCCACTAAACGATGTTCAGTAAAATAGTTCGTTCAGAGAAATCGTTCGTCCAAAGAAATTATTTGTTTAGAGAAATCGTTCATTCAATAAAATCGTTCGTTCAGAAAAAAACAATTGATTTCCATAAATTTGTTAGTCTAGTAAAAAAAGTATTGTTTTTAAAAAAGTGTGTTCGAAAAAATCGTCCGTTCATTAAAAAAACTATTATTTGTTCAGAATTTTTCAGAAAATTCGTTTGTTTTTATTTTTTTGATAAACGATAATTTTCTTCATTTCTCTGAACGATCCCTTTCGTTCATCCATCATTCATTTTTTTCTGAATCCGATGCCCATCTCTATTTAAAACATTATTATTGAAAACCAACATGTACACTATTGTTTTAAAATAATATGAGCTACATATCCAAATCATTAAATATAACCATGGTAATATTTTTCAAAAATAAATTGATTTTTCGCCTTACTATATTTAACATTAAAATAACAATATGTGCTTTTTTTTCTACAAAACTGTAACATTCGATTAGCAGTTTAAATGGCTTTAGTTTATCTTGAAAAATGTAAATACAAAGCAATTAAATAAATATTAAAATTAGGAAAAAATGATCTTTATTTGCTCTTTATCATGTAAAAAAACATTACCGCTGCAGCGTAAAAGCGTAAATTAGGTCAAGGTTTTTCTCTGGAAGAAAGCAGTTTTGACTAATTGTGTTGCAGAGTTTTAACCCCCCCACCTTCCCCTCCACCCTTCAACCCTTTATCTTTACACCCCCCCCCCTCCCATAAAATCCCCCAACCCATGCACCCCAAACAATCATAATTAAAATCTAGGTAATTCACGAATACAGGGGTAATATTCACTACTAATTTCATTGAAATTAAATAACTTTTAATCCAATTTCTTTTTCATTAACACCATGTTCTAAAGTTTATGGCTAAAAATTTAGTTTTTGCGGTTACGAGGGTTGAATTGTAACGAATTCAAGAATTTGCGATTTCTTTTTCAGTTTACTTAAATTGGTTGAACATGGTAGTTCTAGCTTGTTGTATAGTACCTTCTTATCCAGGTAAAAACATGCCTTTGGACGGTAATGTTACATCGTTTATACGCAACATTCCCCTTACTGAACTTCTGACCTTAACTTTCCGACCTACTGCAATATCGGACCTATAGTTCAAAACATTTTCAGTTTAGACTTTTTTTTTTCGTTTGTTTATGACTAATCTTAACTTTACTACAAAGTGGTATACGTTTATTTCGACGCAATGAAGACGACTTTTCCTTTTTAAGTTTTGATTTCTAAAAGCCTTTTGTTTCAAATGAAAAGTTTACAAGTAAAATGAAAAGAAGCTGTTAATTGACAGCTTCTCTTTCTTTCTTTATACGATTTTATAGATAAAGAGTAAAGGTGTACTTGCGTTAACGCGGAATCAGGTAGGAATAGGTTTTAAAAACAATTATAATGAAGTTAATGCATTTAGTTTTTGTCATATCAGAGCCCGTGAAAAAATTCGAGAAAATACGGTCTAAGCTGTCGTTGGGCCTTATATACGGCTTGAGCTTTCGGATTCAAGCTTCATCTTATTTTCTATAGATCAGAGTTTAAAAAATCGGTTTAATATTCTCTTTGGCGGATTTTTATGGTAAGAATTGGCGCATTACGGGTTTTGATGAGAACACGACTCAATATTGAGCCTTATTCTCCACTAAAACCAACCAAGGTTGGTCTTATTTTTGATTAAGTCGAGCCGAAGATCTTGCAGCTGTCAATCACGTGACCCAAGCTGTCGCCAGAGTTGGGTCGAAGATCGGGTCTTAAAGTCGGGATTTAAGGAATAACGGCTCAAGCCGAAGTTTTTAAATCTCTGTATATGTCTAACTAAAGATATCTCATTGTACCCGAGCAAAATACCTACTGTACATTACATTTCTAAATAAAGATATCTCATGTACCCGAGCAAAATACCAACTGTACATTACATGTCTAAATAAAGATACCTCATGTACCCGAGCTAAATGACCTACTGTACATTACATGTCTAACTAAAGGTACCTCATGTACCCGAGCTAAATGACCTACTGTACATGTGTATAGGAATACTAGACCTGGATGATCCCCGGATCCCAGATTCAGCTGACAATCTTCATATAGCTGCTAAATATCTAGGAGATCATGTCACTGAACTCAAGTAAGATACTCAGATTGATTACTCTTATACAATTTTGAAAATGTTTTTATTTATATGAAAACCCTATTTTAGCATAACATTACTCATAATTTATTGTATCATCAAAATTAAGCAAAATTATTTAATTTTAAGAAACTATATCACTCTTTCAGATACGATTGGAAGGTACTTAATTTTAGAAAGAGCTATTAGAAAAAAAACTGAGTTCTTGCTACACACTTAAATTTGTTATCTCTATATCTTTGCAACCTGATCGTGTGTAACTTTGATATTTCACTCTTTGACTATTTGATTGAACATATTTCATAGTTAAAAAAATAAAGGACAAAGGTTTACGACATCAGGTTGCCAAGATATCGGGAACAAAAGATCAGAAAACCTTTGCAAAGGAATTGAGTCTTTGTCTGTCTAATCTCTATATCTTTACCAATCAATGTCTTAACCCTTTGTAATTTAACGGTCTCACGCTCTCAAGCAAAAATCGTTGAGAATTTTGCCAATTACTTCTAAAAATTTTAAGCTCACAAAAAATGCTTTACAGTGCTAAAATGTACATGGAAAGGGCTACAGAAAAGTATAAGTGAGTTAGAGCGGTAAAATCTAAGCTTAGGGCATTGCGACACTTCAAAGTTTATAAGATATTTTAAACTATAGAATTCTGTTAAAATATTATGATTTTGAAATATCAAAGCTAGGTCTACACCATTATGTTGCAAATATCTATCTATAAGAAAATTTGGGTTTGCGGCAAAGACTCAATTCCTTATCTAAGAAGAATATCAGGCTGGATCTGGTATATTTTTTCAGAATATACGGATATTTAGTCCTACAGGATATTTCTGATATCCCATAATATATAAGAATATCTACATTACCTGATCTTGATATCCACTGTGGGCCACTATGGGATTTAATCCTTCAGACGACAATAGATACAGATAACTTCAATTGATCCAGGGATTAACAACTTATAAGTTTTAAAATATGGACAGTGGACACACATATATATATATAATATTTAGTCCTGACCTGCTGGTTCTAATATCTCATCGATCTCCCCGAATACCTGACCAGGGACCACATTTAATAAATTTGAGCTACGTCGCTGAACGACATACTATCGGCTCAAATTTGAACCAACGGTAGGTATTCCAGCGACGTAGTTCGAATTCATTAAATTTGGCTCCAGATTGCTCTACATCTGGGTTCTACAGCTGTTGGATCATCATGTCTCCATGCTCATTGGCAGCAGTTCAAGGTAGGGTTTGGTAAATATGTACAGTGTGGTCCCATAAACATGGGAATTATTTTAAAAACTTAGCTAGTTGATTTAAACCTAAAATAATATCCCTGTAGCTCTAAAAAATCCAAACTCACATTTTTGGTCTTTCATAATTTTTTATACCAAAAGATAAAGCTACTAGTTAGCTTAGAAAACGGAGTTTTAGTGTATTGACCACTTTTAGCAATCCTAATTTCAGGGGATATTTGTTCCAAAACTAACACTTGGCCCATATCTAACACTGAGTGTTAAAAATGGGCCAAATCTGCAAAATTATCTTTTTTCAAGAGTATATAACTTTGAATCCAAGAACAAAACTACACCATATATTCATAAAAAATGGCTAAAAATATATATTGAAGCAATAAATGTCAATTTTAAACTAATAATAAGGTGTGAGAATTAGTTTTTGATGATTCTTAACTTCATTTTCGAACATATCCCTATTTTGAAACAATTACCGGATTTCAGCAAATGTAGCCTTTTCGGAACATATCCTGGTTTTGAAATTATTCTAAAAACGTGCTTTTCACATAGCTCGTTAATTTAAACCTGAAATAATTTTTGTGAGGTTTTCATCCCTGTAGCTCTAAAATATCCAAACTCACATTTTTGGTCTTTCATAATTTTTTATACCAAAAGATATAGCTTGCTTAAAAAACGGGGTTTTAGTGTATTGACCACTCTTAGCAATGTGGAAATGAAATGGTGGCACCATTAACAGTGTTAAGTCATCTTCCATTAAGGCGGTTAATGAAATTGAGATAGTTAAATAACGGAAACTGTGAGAAAGAATGGAAATTAACGTTAAAGAATTCGGAACCTTTAGTTCTTAGCTAAAGAACGAACGATTTCAACTAACCGTTTACGATCGGGTTGAAAAAGTGTGAACGTGTCCAAACCTAACTGATATAACTGATATAACTGATATAACTGATATAACTGATATAACTGATATAACTGATATAACTGATATAACTGATATAACTGATATAACTGCTGCGTAGGTGAGCGGAAATATAGGTATTGAGGAGACAAAGGAACTCCATGAAATGCTGGAAAATAAAGGGAAGAAAGTTTGTCTTATCGAGGTAATTAAAAAAAAGATTTGAGAAATCAATAAAGATATATTACCACCAAATCTTTTGTGTTGTAAATCCCGGGATGAAGTCATTCAATTGATAACAATTTTAATTTTATAATAATATAATAAATATATGGACAGACAATTTTATAATAATATAATAAATATATGGACAGACAATTTGAAAATAAAAGAATGTGGAAGAAAGAAGAGGAATGGGGATAAAAGGATACTCATACAAGAACTAAAAACCGGGATCTGAAATTGACGGAATGATTCGTCTTTTAAAGAAATCGAGTCTTTGCCACAAACTAAAATGTGGCAAAGACTAAATTACTTTAAAGAATAAATGAAGGAGATGGAAAAGAAGGAAAGGATGGGATTAGATCCAATAACAAAAAATATTGAACAAGAAAGATAATTATTACAGAATTTTCCTTGAAAGGGGTGAGTTGCATGTATTGTAGGAAGTCTGGCTTTCTTGCAATGAGTAAATTGGTAGAATGGTAGAATATATGTTTTCCATAACATACACAGATTAAACAGAAAGGTCTTAAAACAAGGTGGGAAACTCCCCTCTGTAGTTTTGTTTACATAACTCAAAAAGTATTGGTCTGAGGCTGTTGAAATTTTCTGACTTTTCCTAAACATCCATAGCCCTCCCTTTAGGTCTAAAACCGGGCTTCTATACAAACTTCCTGATTCCTCAGGCACACTGCCTGAATGATTACTTTTTCCTGTAACAAACTAAATCAGTGTTTTGACCCCCTATCAGTTGTCAAATTTTGATAACTTTTAGATTTTTGGAAAGCCTATGATATAAGAAAACGGATTGCACTAGTTTTTCAAAGAAATTTTAGCAAATTTTTGCATACAACCCGTCAAATGAAATTTGCACATTTTTAGTTTTTCTTAATTACCGATCAGGTTATTTAAAATTTTGCAATTTTTTTTTTGATATTTGAAATGGCATGTTCGAGGTCTTTTCAAAATGTATATTTTATTATTTTTTGGACAATTTTTTTCGCAAACATTTTACTGGATTTCGCAAAAAAAAACATTCAACTTTACAAATTTGCAATTTTATGTGGATTCTAAAAGTGGAGCATTAGAGTTTTCCAATGATGAGTCATTTGTCATATTTGGACATCAAACATGGGATTGTGTAATACTGACAATGAGGGTTTAATCTGAAATTGTTAGTATTATCACGAAATTATTAAATCGCTTATTTTAAACAAAAAATAGCTTAATTGGCCGCAAAAGTAGGATGACTACCAAATAAGTGATTTTTTATCGTATAAGGCAGCCATCCAACTTTTGCAGCAAAAATAACCGATTTATTTTCATTTTGTTATAATCTGTGCAATCTGTGGTATAATTATATAATGTGTATATTGGGTGGTGAGTGGTTAAATGAAAAATATCAATTAAATATATTGGATGTATAATGTGGAAAACATGTTACAGCCAGGAGACTGCGGAACCACTTTAGGATGGGCTGAGGTAATATCATTGCAGGGTAGATACTTTCCCAAAAGCATTTTCCCAAGCGTAAACTTCCCAAGGGTATATTTTTCAACTTGGCAACTTCCCGAATGTGCTAATTCCCAAGCGGCTGCTTCCAAAGTCTGTCCTATCTACAGCGCTCGGTCCCCTATCCTGTTCTACCCGCAGCGCTCAGCCCCCTAACCTGTTCTACCCACAGCGCTCGGTCCCCTACCCTGTTCTACCCGCAGCGCTCAGTCCCCTTCCCTGTTATACCCACAGCGCTCGGTCCCCTACCCTGTTCTACCCACAGCACTCGGTCCCCTTCCCTGTTCTACCCTCAGCGCTCAGTCCCCTTCCCTGTTCTACCCGCAACCAGGTCTCTTTCGCCATCCTAGCCGCTGTGCTCGGCCCTCCGTTATCAGTTTTGAAATGGCACATTTGGGAAGCTGCCATTGGGGACATTGTCACTTGGGAAGTCGCCCTTGGAAAACGCCTGTGGGAAAACACCTAACACCATTTAGAGAGTATCAATAAATATATCTGAATACATCTTATCACGTTAAAATAAAGTGAATTGCACATACGACACGTACTTATCAAATCTTATATGCTTTCAATCATAACTTCTCTTATTTAAGATCTATTGAAAAGAACAAAAATGTTTTGAACTTCTTATAAAAAATGAAATAAACATGGATTTCTCATACTTGAACGAGAAATCCAAACTAGAGGAACTACCAGGTCACAAGTTCGTACCAGTAATGTCTAAGTCTTACTGTCAGTTCGCAGTGCTACTTATATGTTATGATATAAAAATAGTTGTCTTTATATGCAGAAAGGCGAGATACATTTAATCAGCTGTGTCTAGATAGAATTTATTCGGAACTTTTCCTTATTCATTAACTCCGACATCTGAAACCATCTTTTTCATCAAAAAAACTTTTAAATGAAATTTTAATATTTAGTCACTTATTTGATTTTTATGCTAAAATTAATGTGGTTCCAAATAAGATCAATGTTAACCAGGAAATAATCAGAGGAACTGATTTTTAAGATTACCTTGCAAAGATGGAACATTTTCCTCAAATATTTTAAGAATAAAAGATTTTAAATTCTAAGTAAGCAAAATTTATTCTAAATCTAAATTACCTCCGTTAAAGTGATTGTAAACGTAATTTCAAGTGACCCTCCAATCTCCATGGAAAGGTGGCATTGCCTGATTTACATGGTACTTTTAAAAGCTTTGACTGATTAAGTATAAATTAGATATCAATGTTTTTTCTTTAAATTGTTTATTTTCATTTGCGGTTTCTCTGCACAAATGACTTTCTTGTTTATATGAGAAACTTACAGAAATAAACAGTCAGAAAAACGACGGTATATTCTCGTTTTTTTATGAAAGTGCAAACCTTTGATATTTCAAACTTTAATTATTTGATCTAACAGAATTCATAGTTTGAAATATCTAAGGTCTACAACATTGGGCGGCAAAGACTCATTTTTTTCTATCTAAAATGTATATTTAAGACGACTAGTCTCTGGTTCCTAGGGGAGACAAGGGGGACTAGTGGTACCAGATCCAGGACTATTCACCAGGTACTTTCCCACGGTAAATTAGAGGTCCCTGCATGGTTAATAGTCCAGAGAATTTTAAACTTTACAACCAATTTTAACCCCTTATATGTATATTTTTTTCTATTTGCTCCCATACTTTTTGTTGGGATATATATTTTAAATATTTAAATGTATAAAGTATCTTACGCAATTAGTTTACTTTAAAAGATAGAACTTAATATAATATTAGTAAACAAATCCTACACCATAACATGCACTTTGTTGAAGTTCCGTGTTCCGTTATCAAGTGCATTTATCAGTTCCGTGTTCCGTTATCAAGTGCATTTATCAGTTCCTTGTTTCGTTATCACGTGTATTTATCAGTTCCTTGTTTTGTTATCACGTGCATTTAGCAGTTCCTTGTTTTGTTATCACGTGCATGTTTATCAGTTCCTTGTTTCGTTATCACGTCCATTTAGCAATTCCTTGTTTTGTTATCACATGCATTTAGCAGTTCCTTGTTTTGTTATCACGTGCATTTATCAGTTCCTTGTTTTGTTATCATGTGCATTTATGAGTTCCTTGTTTCGTTATCACGTGCATTTATCAGTTCCTTGTTTCGTTATCACGTGCATTTATCAGTTCCTTGTTTTGTTATCACGTGCATTTATCAGTTCCTTGTTTTTTTTATCACGTGCATTTAGCAGTTCCTTGTTTTGTTATCACGTGCATTTATCAGTTCCTTGTTTTGTTATCACGTGCATTTATCAGTTCCTTGTTTTGTTATCACGTGCATTTATCAGTTCCTTGTTTCGTTATCATGTGTATTTATCAGTTCCTTGTTTCTTTATCACGTGTATTTAGCAGTTCCTTGTTTCGTTATCACGTGTATTTATCAGTTCCTTGTTTTGTTATCACGTGCATTTAGCAGTTCCTTGTTTTGTTATCACGTGCATTTATCAGTTCCTTGTTCCGTTATCAAGTGCGTTTATCAGTTCCTTGTTTTGTTATCACGTACATTTATCAGTTCCTTGTTTTGTTATCACGTTCATTTATCAGTTCCTTGCTTTGTTGTCACGTACATTTATCAGTTCCTTGTTTCGTTATCACGTACATTTATTAGTTCCGTGTTCCGTTATCAAGTGCAATTATCAGTTCCTTGTTTCGTTATCACGTGCATTTATCAGTTCCTTGTTCCATTATCAAGTGCGTTTATCAGTTCCTTGTTTTGTTATCACGTACATTTATCAGTTCCTTGTTTTGTTATCACGTTCATTTATCAGTTCCTTGTTTTGTTATCACGTGCATTTATCAGTTCCTTGTTTTGTTATCACGTGCATTTATCAGTTCCTTGTTTCGTTATCACGTGCATTTATCAGTTCCTTGTTTCGATATCAAGTACATTTATCAGTTCCTTGTTTTGTTATCACGTACATTTATCAGTTCCGTATCAAGTGCATTTATTAGTTCCGTGTTCCGTTATCAAGGTGCATTTATCAGTTCGGTCCTTATCACTGCAACCTGCGGGCTGCGACTTTTCATCAAAATTTTTCATAAAAAACCCTACATTTTGTCGTCATTCTTTTAAATGTTTTTTTTGTCGGCGTTTGATTTTTAACTTTAAAAGTTTAAAAAGACGAATCCACAAGTTAAAGGAAAGGCCAACAAGGACAAGGAAAGGAAAAAATTTAAATTTTTAATTCGAAACGAACGGAAAACTACACAATTTGAAGATAACGGAAACTTGTTTCTACAACGAACCATTTCGTTTATTTAATTCCAAACCTGATATGAAACTTATATTTTTGAAAATGAATTGAGGCTTTGCCACAAACTCAAATTTTCTAATCCCAATATTTGATATTTCAAACTTAGATTTTGATATAACAGAAATCATAGTTTTAAGTATTTAAGGTCTGTAACATTGGGTTGCAAAGATATAGGATTAAAGAATAGGAGTTTGTGACAAATAATTAATTCATTTAAAGCCCAAACTAGCTGAAATCTAGTATATTTGATTGATTTTTTTCATGTGAAAGATGGATCCCATGTCAGGCTCTGACATCCGTCTAGTGTTTACATTACCGCCCAGAGACAGTACACTGCAGTACAAAAGATGCGTACACCTCTGAAATAACTTTCCTTGTATTATAACCTTGCGTTCACCTCTGAAATAACTTTCCTTGAATTATAACCTTGTGTCCCGCTAAATTCTACTATATTTTGGTTAGTGTACTGCAAAGGTAACCGCCAAAAAAGTCCCAGGAATCCAATACACAGGACTTTATTTCCAGTGACATTTTTCCAAAATTTGTTTTTCCAGGTTTTTTTATTGTACCGAAGATTAAAATCTTATATGCTTACAATCATAACTTCTCTTAATAAAGAGCTAATAAGAATGAAAAAAGGTTTTAATTTCTAATATGTAACTGGATAAATTTAAATTTGAATTTACGCGCCAGTAATGTCCCCTTGATTTGATCTTTTGCATTTGATGATACTATTGAGCACTGGGTCAGGTACATGAAGCATTTGATAATACTAGGCTGGGTACAATTTTGTTGAAGTCCCAATTTCTTTTTTGTTAAAATGAATAAAGGTTTATGATCAAAAGTAAGGAGAACGGTGGTATTTCTATAAGTTGCTCGTATGATGAAATAATTAAATTTTTAGAAATTTATGAGTGTTCGCTGACTTTTGAATATGATCTGAATTATTCAAATTTCAAGAGCAAAGTAATTTAGGAAAAATATTCACAGAGAAATGAATGACAAAACATTTTCGATTTCTTGAACAAAATAAATAAATATATTAAAAAGCAACATGCAAAGAATGAAAATAAAAATAGAAGCGGAATAAAAATTGTAAAAACGTTTATTTTTTACTCTCGATACAATGAAGAAGGTATAGGGTTGGTTACCCTTTACATTTTTTTCTTCAAATTCCGACATAGAGCTGGAAAAGAAAGTAATAAAAATATAAAACCTTTAGCAGCTCAGAATATAGGGTTAGACATATTGTACTATAAACTCTGGATCATTTCAAATACCGGGCCGACTTTAGAGCAAGCTGTACAGTCCACATTAAAGTCTTTTTGACTATTAAACTCAAAAAGTAACAATTCACCAAATAAATTAGACCCTTCTAGGTCGAGATTATATTGATATATATATATATTTGTGTACATATGGAGCACATATATACATGGTTAATTATTCTGGATTGCAGATTTAAATTTTCTTGTTCCCGCATTTCCTCTTTCTGTGGAAGACGATATATTTGCTACAACCCTCCTCAAAATCGGGAACAATCTTAATAAATATAAATATATATCAATTCAGGATATGCTGATAATCAGTCCCCCCGGCCCAAGAGAAGCTCCTAATGAAGAGACGCCTGACTTTCTTGACTATTGTGTTTCCATCGGTAAAATAAAATAACAGTTCCAAGAAGATTAGAACAACAAAATTTGCAATATTTTCAAGAAAAACATTTCAAAATATTTGAAAGTTGGTAAATTTGACCAAATAAGAAATTCCAACAAATTATTCCTTAAACAGTCTACGGTATTCACGTAACTGCAGTTAGAAAAGAACTTAAACAGTGTACAGTATTCACGTAACTACAATTAGAAAAGAACTTAAACAGTGTACAGTATTCACGTAACTACAGTTAGAAAAGAACTTAAACAGTCTACAGTATTCACGTAACTACAGTTAGAAAAGAACTTAAACAGTCTACAGTATTCACGTAACTGCAGTTAGAAAAGAACTTAAACACTTGGTCCATATCTAACACTGAATGTTAGAAATGGGCACAAATTGAAAGACTGGGTTTTTAGGATCCCGGCCTGTATCTAGAGTAAAAGTCGATAATTAAAACTATAACCCACATTTTATTAAGCATAAGGACAACAATTCCCAATTTAACATTAATTCCCGGAATCAAAATTATAAAAGGAGTTCTTTTGTATGAAAACCCTTGACCGCTTTCAAGACAATGTCAGTTCGAACATATCCTGAATTTGAATCATGTCTCGAAAACGCGACAGACAAAACCCATTTCCCCGTTTTTGAGTATAATCCTCAATTCAGAACAAAACTCACTTTCATAACAAAAATAAATCACTGAAAGTAAAAATTATTTCTAAAATCTTAATTTTCCTATTTCATTTGTAAAATGAGAGAATAAAGTTGATTTAATTTCCCCCATTTAAATAAACCATTTCCCGGATTTCTAGTTAAGTCTATATATTGTAAGAACAAAATAATATCAAAATTTGATTTCTCGATGATTTCTAAATTATTAAATAACAATATTTTTGGTTTTCTATTTTGTTTCTATTTTACCATTTCAAAAAATCTTGTTTTGTTACGTAAGTGCGTAAATGCTTGAAAATTGACATTGATACGAATTCGAGTATATGTCCCAAAACCAGGATATGTTCCGAAAACGCGACATGAGCTGAAATCCGGTAATTGTTTCAAAATAGGGATATGTTCGTAAAATGAAATCAAGAATCATCAAAAACTAATTCTCTCAACTTATTATTAGTTTAAAATTGACATTTATTGTTTCAATACATAGTTTTAGCCATTTTTTATAAATGATGTAATTTTGTTCTAATCGACTTGGATTTTAAGATATATACTTTTGAAAAGATAACAATTTGCAGATCTGCAGTTCTGGCCCATTTTTAACACTCAGTGTTAAAATGGGCCAAGTGTTAGTTTTAGAACTAATTTCCCTGGGTTTGAAAAGAATTTCCTAAGGAAACTATCCACGTGCCTTTGATCCCTTTATCTGAGCAACCTGTGGCCGAATTTAAAGAATTTGAGCGGCGGTTTAAATTTAAGCCGCGGTTTAAATATGGTTAGTTCCACTTAAAATTGTATCAAATGTTTCAAGATTTAAGCCGGCGCTTAATTTAAACCGGGTTTTGGCGGATTTAAACCGCGGCTCAAATTCTTTAAATTCCATCTCTGATTGTCTAACTGCCAACCTTTTTTTTAACTTTGCCCACTTTATTCAGCAGAATTAATAGGTCTTCGATCAATCACTAATCAGATTAATTGCAAATGAATAAGATCAGAAAACCTTACCGCCATTTTTGCTTTACATTAAAAATGTCCCAGACTTGTTGCAACACCTCTGGTCAGTATACACTTCACTATACAGAGATAACCAGAAAACAGACTTGTTGCAACACCTCTGGTCAGTATACACTACACTATACAGAGATAACCAGAAAACAGACTTGTTGCAACACCTCTGGTCAGTATACACTACACTATACAGAGATAACCAGAAAACAGACTTGTTGCAACACCTCTGGTCAGTATACACTACACTATACAGAGATAACCAGAAAACTCTTAAATAAGAAGACGACTTTAAGAATAAGGTTATAACTTTACAAAGTGAATTGAGCATGAGACACAGCAATTGTAGATTGACTTATTTCAGTAAATTAGTGATTTAAAAAATGTCTATGTAAAACTATTTGCTTTGTAACCACATAAAATACACTTAAGTAAAGCTGTAATAGCGTCTTTCTTTTCCATTGTTTTCTTGTTATCACTGTATGAAAGTGTAGCTTCAATTGAAGAGACATTAAGATCATGGTTAGTAGATAATCATAGCATGACGTTTTTTTTAACATACTTTATTTAGGTGAAGATATAGCTGATATTCTTGATGATATGACAGAGAAGATTGTAATTATAGTTCCTGGAGATCTTAGTCAGGTTTATTTTGTCCCATTCCATAATATTTTCCTTTATACATCATTAAACTGAAAACAAATCGGAGACCTTCCGATTTCTTTGTGAATTTCCAAATAGATATTCCAAATTTTCCAAATTTCCAAAATCTAAATCTTTGAGACAAAGGAGTTGAAACAAGTTCTGATTGTCTAATCCCTATATCCATCATTTTGATATTTCAACCTATGAATTCTGTTTGATCAAATATCACTGGTTTACACGATCAGGTTACAATGATGTAGGTTTTAGAAAATTTGCATTTGTGGCAAATGCTCAATTCCTTTAGAAATCCCTTCATTAATTGTATTAATAAATAGGAGCATTTGCCTCATGGAGACTTTCCTGAATTCAAACCTCCAGGAAATATTAAAGTAAGTGTTTTTAACGATGTTATTGTTAGGTGCTTTCCCAAAAGCATTTTTCCATGCCGCAACTTTCTTTATTTTAACAAGTAGCAAATTTGATGGCGCGGCAAGACTTGTACCTGGCCTATCGTTCACCTATTTGACCTACCACTAGCTTAGTCTAATGTGGAGTTACGATTTAAGGACTTTGACATTTGAAATCATTTTTGTCTTCCATTTGTAAACCTTATTTTGCAAGTAATCATTAATATTCCTTTTCTGACATTTCAAAAATGTGGTCAGCCTTTTTGTGTTATCAGGGATATATAGAATTTCGTTTAGATTTTAATTTACTTATTAATTATAATATAAAAATAGATTTTTTTTGATACTGCTCCTTTAGGGGGGTGCACTGCACTGCACAACGACCGCTATGGCGATGAACCCAAAAACCCCGAAAATTTAGGAACGCTTACACACGCCAAAAGTTCACCCCCCCCCCTATAGGCTAAGCCTTAGTACGCCCCTAGAACCGTACTGAATTTTTTAAAGCTCACTTTGCATATAACTATGACAGATAAAAGCACTTCTTACTCGAGTTTTTCATGTTTAATGTTTGTTTCAGCACGATATATCAAGAGTAGACAAGGAGTTGAGAAAACCAAACTTCAGGAAGGCGGAAGCATTTGATGATACTATTGAGCACTGGGTCAGGTACAGGAAGCATTTAATGATACTATTGAGCACTGGATCAGGTACATGAAGCATTTGATGATACTATTGAGCACTGGGTCAGGTACAGGAAGCATTTGATGATACTATTGAGCACTGGGTCAGGTACAGGAAGCATTTGATGATACTATTGAGCACTGGGTCAGGTACAGGAAGCATTTGATTATACTATTGAGCACTGGGTCAGGTAAAGGAAGTATTTGATGATACTATTGAGCACTGGGTCAGGTATAGGAAGCATTTGATGATACTATTGAGCACTGGGTCAGGTACATGAAGCATTTGATGATGCTATTGAGACTGGGTCAGGTAAAGGAAGTATTTGATGATACTATTGAGCACTGGGTCAGGTATAGGAAGCATTTGATTATACTATTGAGCACTGGGTCAGGTACAGGAAGCATTTGATGATGCTATTGAGACTGGGTCAGGTACATGAAGCATTTGATGATGCTATTGAGACTGGGTCAGGTACAGGAAGCATTTGATGATACTATTGAGCACTGGGTCAGGTAAAGGAAGCATTTGATGATACTATTGAGCANTTTTAAAGATATTCCTATTATATAGATTAACTAGGTCGGTTGTGAACATTGGCTGTTGTTATGTCATTGAGTACTTGTGGTGTACATGAATTCTGTAGAAAAGAAATTAAGTTAGTTTAGTCCTTCTCATGTCCTTCTTCAGTTCTCGTCAATATGATATATTGCTCAGTGAAATATTGTTGTTAAAATAGTTCCATTCCCGGAGTTATCTTACACTCTATTATTAAATCCATTAAAACACCAAACCACCCTGCTTATCATTGAAGTATATTTTGACCCCTAGAAGCATGAGTTCACGAACTGTACAATTCTTGGTGATTTTGCGTACATAAGCTATCTATGTTTATTTATTTATCTATGGACATTTCATAGAAAGATCTCTTGCTCCAATCAAATCAGAGTTTCTATATCAGCTTAATATATTTCTTCATGTTAGATTAGAGTTAGGTATTAACAGCGTAATTACAAGTACTCCATTTGTATAAGAAATATTTGTCTGATGTACAATTACCGCATATACAAGAACCGTCTGCAAAGCATGTATAATTATATTGTAGGGCGGGCCGCGTCAGTTGTATCTCCCTTCTTTTTCCTACTCCTTGGAGTTCTCTCATTGATTGTTTCTCTGATTTGCTGTACAGTTTCTTCAAGCGACACTCTGATTGGTTGAATTTCATGGATATCAAATTAAAGATTATATTTATCTGCAGATTAACAAAAGGGGAAATAAAGCATTGTTATCCGCAATTCTAAAGTTTTTAGCTATGATTTAATTTTTATTTTAGAACAATACATAGAGCTGAACTAGTAGATAGAGCTCCAGATATATTGTATACTCCTGCTCTTCTTTCTCTTTCTATTCTTCAGGTCAGTGTAAACTTAAAGAAAATGTCAACGTATTTTCAAGGAACCCTCAATTATCAATATGGCCTGTCATTGTGGCTTGTATAAAGGTACCTTTGTAATGCGGGGTTGACACTTTTTAACCATGGGGGGTCACGTGAAATTACATCGACAGCCCAGTTCAATCTTCCTGTTGGACAATTATTTAGTGTAAACCAGCATGGTTTTAGAAACACATTAGCTTGGATTTCAAGTAGTTCCCTTGATCCAACCCCTGCAGTTCTGGCACGGACCCTGCTGAGCTTAACTTAGATTTCAAGTAGTTCCGTTAATGTGAGCATGAAGGCCCACATCATAATGTGAAAATAAGAACTAAAAAATAGAATAAACTATAAACCGTAATATCCCGACCCTTGAAATTGGTTAATGGGGTGAGGCCATGCATAAATTATTGGGATTGAGATTAAGAATAATACATTAACATCACAGATACTCTGCCTCAGAGTTATACACATAATGTTTCTCTAATAATAGTTTTTTTATAAAAATATTCAGCATAATTGTATCTCAAATATAATGGCGAACAATTTGAATTAAAGAAACTGATTTCTCTCCTCAAACTATAAAGTACTTGAGTCTTTGCCACAAACTCTGATTTTCTAATAATTGCATCTTTGCAACCCAATGGCGTGGAATTTCGATATTTCAAACTATGAATTTAAATAATCTATAATGGTTCAAACATACTAGATGTAACGATTAGCAAATTTATGCTTTTGACGAGTAACATGTTTTGCGTTATTTTTTTTTTATCACAAGAATTCATTTTTTAATTATTTTTACTTATAAAATTTGCATTGCCTTAATTATATTATAAGAGAGGCTTTTCAGCTTCTCCTGCTATTGACTGAACTGCACGGTATTTTATTATTCTATTATTTTCCGTTGTTCATTTCTAATTTTTAGACGACTTCCTACCCATTTATACCCCTTCAAATTTAAACCATTTAAAAAAAATTTATTCCCCCCTTCCCGGATTCACTTCTCTCCCCCCCCCCTGAATTCATTATTTATATTTAGGGTATTGTAGAACGATGTGGATTAGCTGGTGAGGTAAAGTCATTTTATAATTCAGATTTTTAATATGTTTTTGTGACGCAAATCATTTGTAGAAGAAATAATTAATTATATTTTTAAACGCCATTATATTCACAAAAATACTGTGGAGTAAACTTTTCAGAACACGTGTACATGATTTCAGCCTTCCTCAAACTATTTTTTCCCCAAAATTCTTAAATTTTTACATGCTTAACTTACTTCTTTATGAAAGTTTTACTTAATTACATAATTTTCTTACATATAACATTTCAGATCTATGGGTTATAATATTTAAGATATATAATTGTCGATTTTACATTTTTCATTATATTAAGTGGTATTTTTCGGACATTTAAGGATACTAATGTTTATGACTGGTGAAGTTAAAAACAAGAGGTTCGGAGGCGAATTCAGGGGGCTAATGGGGGCTCAGCCCCCCCCCTTCTGGATTAGTGAAGTTTATGAAGAATGGGGGGGGGTCAGGGTTTATTAGATGCAGAGCCAGCACCCCCTGGGCACATTCCTGTATACGCCCCCTGAATAGGTTCTAGCTAGAGCAGCACCCTCCTACCTGGGTCAACTCGCGGCTCTCTTCCATCCTCAAGACAAGGAAATTTTATCTTACTTAATTTCACCTCAAAATAAAGTAAATTGTATCAAAGATTAAAATCTTATATGTTTACAATCATAACTTCTCTTAATAAAGAGCGAATGAGAATGAAAAAAGGTTTTAATTTCTAATATGTAACTGGATAAATTTAAATTTGAATTTACGCGCCAGTAATGTCCCCTTGATTTGATCTTTTGCTTCTGTAAAGCTTGCAGTGATTTGAAAAAAATACATATCTTAGTGTAGAAATAAATCCAAATAAAGAAAACTTTTTCAAGTTAATTACACTATTCGAAGTAAGAAAATGACGATAGGGTTGGAGAGTGCTGGGAAGGCCTTTGCCTAAGAAAGTATAAAATGCAGAAATCCAGTCTAAAAAGTTGGGATTTTTGGTTTGAAATAAAGAACCAACATCATTCTTTCCAATAGCTTGAACCTTAAATGGAGTGTTAGAGAAAAAGGAAAGGGGGTATAGGCTAGAGTCGAATCGAATTCTATGGTAATCGCTACTAATCTTAATCATATATGTTCCGTCTATAAGGAGAAAAGGGTTAAACACGACTCAGACCGAAAAACGTAGGACCCATACAAATTCACGAAGTTGCAATATTTCACTCAAATCGTAAATAATTCAATTAAAATTAAAACTGATCATTTAGAATTGAAATATAAAGGTTGAATAATTAATTTTAAATTCAATTTAATTATTTCCGATCAGAGTGAAATATTGCAACTTGTGAAATTGTATGTGTCGTGTACGTACTTCGATTTAACACTTTTTTCATCATAGATACCACAGATAGAAGTAAGATTAGTAGCGAACACCATCGAATTCGATTCGACGTTAGCCTATCCCCTTTCATTTTTCGCGAAAACTCCATTTAAAGGACCTTTAAGAATAATTTCAAGTGACCCTCCATACAATTCACAACGGCACCCTTTAACGTTTGACTGATCATCAAGGACAACAGACTGTAAAGAAACGATTTTACAATTGTTGAACACTGTGCTTGCAAAAGAATATTAATTGAATTGACAGAATATAAATTTTTACATTTAAATTTCAGAAAACGACGTTGGACATATCAATATATTCTAGATTTTCCAAGAATAATTCTGAAGTTGAGTTCACACAGTACGCTAGCTTACACTCCAATTTAGGGCTTTTTACAAAACATTTAAGAGACATATACATTAAGTTCTCTGTCCTCTGATCAGTTAAATATTTCAAGGGTACCAATGTGAATCGGGGATGTCCCCCTTTAAATGGAAGGTCACTTAAAATTACGCTTACAGTCCCTCGAATCGTTTACATTGTTAGTGTCTTATTCATCGTTATTTGAGAGCTCTTTAAATGAGAGGTTTGGACATTTTAAAATCTAACAAATCAGGATTGAGGATTTGGATTAGACCAATGAGATTCTAGTTTTTAAATCTCAATGTAGCATGTCAATCTAAGCTAAAGTTCCAGGCTTCTAGTAGAACCAATTCAAATCCATTTATTGTATAGTAAAAACTTGAAAAAGGACTGAAAGTAAAAGGTCAAGATTGAGTGAAAGAACAAAACATATTTGCACACAAAACTATATCTACGTTTTAACGATACAAACGGTTAGTGTTGGATCGATTAAAAATTGGATCTAAATAACATGACATTCGCCTGCGTCGAATATATTTCTACCATACACTTCTGTTTCGATACTTGATGAGAACTGGCTTGGTCTGGGGCACAAGATGGTGTAAAAACTCCTTTCACCGACATCGATTCCCCCTTAGCTCTGCCCTTGCTAACTGTACCGTATGCAGATAAACTAGAAAGATTCAATGTCCTTTGGGGCCTAGCCAGTTGGATCATCAGGCTGCAAACATACCAAGAGTTCAAAAACCATTAGTGCTAGGCTTGGGTTAGATTGTCAGGCTACAAACATATTCTTACTTGGGAACAATAAACTGTACTGCATTATAAATCCTCATTGGTTCACAATAGTTTTAGTTTAGTCCTCCTACACTTCTAATATTTTGTTTAGTAACCGTAGAAAACGTCATTTTTAGTTATGAACACTGTATAATTTGTGTATGTATTGTATAACATGTATGCAAGAAATATATTGTGATTAATTTTGAGCAAATATTGCAATAAAAAATTTCTCAATACAAATATTTTGGTAACATCTATATAATAAAAATCTTCTTTCATATTTATTTGTAAGCTATAGCTGGCCAAACTGCTGAATAAAATTGGATAACATTTTTTAGGGAACCGGGCCGTGGGCACCCTAAGTATAACATGGCTCTTAAAATTTTTTTTTTGTAAAAAAAGTTTTTTTTGCATAGGGTAGGGTACAGGTTGGTGACATCTTGATATTTGTTTAAAACAAAAAAAATAATCTTTATAATTTTTGACCCCCTTTTTTGGCATTTTTTTAACCCTCTTTAGAACCGAAACTATATAGGTCTTAATTTTCAATGAGCTGGCCTTGAAAAATTGGGTTATGAACATTCATTAATACTCCTATTCTCTAAGGCCTTCTTCTATACAAACTGAACAATTTTCCTCATAAATGGATTTCTGGAATAAAGAAACCCTATGTGTAGTAAAAACATAAATAATTTAAGAATTTTGAGTTTTTTTTTTGGCCGTTAGAAGTATTTTACTTTTAAGTTGCAAGAAAAAAAACATGTTTTTTAAATTTTCAATTTGTTCAAAATTTGTAAAATGAAACATGATAAGCTGCGGGGGGGGGATTGTGAAAAAATATAAATAGTCTATATTTAAAAATATCTGGAAATATCTAGATATGCAGGAAACGACTGCTGAGTAAGGATTCTGTTCTCATCTTTCAACTTTAACTTTTGGAAAGAATTTGATTTAAAATGTTGATGAGAGGACAAGTCACGTGGATTTAACTGTTCGGTCCAGTTATCAGCAAATCGTGACTTTTGATCACAATTTGTCCCATTAAACAATAAAAATACATTTTTTGCTTCTTTCTTTTTCTTATACTTTGTAGTAGGCGTTCTAAATAAAAGGTAAAAAATTTCACAACTCTGAAAGCAGAAAATGTTGATTGTTGAATTATAGAAAAATCGGGATTCAATTCAAATAGAGGAAATCAAATTTATCTCGCACTGGTTAGTCAAATGTAGAGTAATGGTAAAGAGAAGAAGAGTAGTAGTAAAGTATTAGTATAGTAGTAATTAAAGGAGTATCTCTATCTAGCAGTAATGAATCAGCGTGGTAGAGGAGTAAAGGAGTAGCTTGGTAGAAAAATAAAGGAGTAGCTTGGTAGAAAAGAAAAGGAGGGTGTAGAGTAGTATACTAGCATAGCTAAGTAGTGTAGAAGAGAAGAAAGGAGAAGTGTAGTAGTAGAGAAGTAGATAATTCATGTAGAAGAAGAGAAAGGAGAAGTCTAGTAGTAGAGAAGTAGATAATTCATGTAGAAGAAGAGAAAGGAGAAGTCTAGTAGAAGAGAAGCAGATAATTCGTGTAGAAGAAGATAAAGGAGAAGTCTAGTAGTAGAGAAGCAGATAATTCATGTAGAAGAAGAGAAAGGAGATGTCTAGTAGTAGAGAAGCAGATAATTCGTGTAGAAGAGGAGAAAGGAGAAGTGCATTGTTGTAGAGGAGTAGATAAGTAGTGTAGAAGAGTAGAAAGGAGAAGTGTAGTAGTAGAGGAGTAGATAAGTAGTGTAGAAGATAAGAAAGGAGAAGTGTAATAGTAGATGAGTAGAGGATTGGTGTGGTTACAGAACACTGTAGTAGTAGCTGAGTAGAGGAGTCGTGTGGTATGAAGATAAAAGGAGTAGAAGATTCATAGTGTGGCCAAGTCGAGCAGTGTAGAAGTAGATGAGTCGTGTGAAAGCAGATTAAAGAAGTAGAGTGGTAGAGGAGTAGAATGTTAAAGGAGTAGAATGTTAAAGTAGTAGAATGTTAAAGGAATAGAATGTTAAAGTAGTAGAATGTTATACGAGTAGAATGTTAAAGTAGTAGAACGTTAAAGTATGGTGGTAGGCGATTATATCAATATAATAAAGACGACTTTTAATTTTCATTGTTAACAAGCTTTCCTTCGATTTAAAAGTTCAATAGTAATAAAAAAGCAGTTTTTTTGATTGACAGCTTCCCTCTGTTTCATGTTTTTGTTTATCCATGCTGTTTAAAAGCTTTATATAAATCAAAATTGAAATAGAAAGTCGTCTTCATCATAATGATATAATCGTCTACTACCGCAGTAGATTGTTAGAGTAGTAGAATGGTTAAGTAGTCGAATTTTAAAGTAGCAGATTGTTAAAGTAGAAGAATGTTAAAGAAGTAGATTGTTAAAGTAGAAGAATGTTAAAGCAGTAGATTGTTAAAGTAGTAGAATGTTAAAGCAGTAGAATGTGTAAGTAAAAGAATGTTACAGTGATAGAATGTTAAAGTGATAGAATGTTAAAGTGATAGAATGTTAAAGTACAGGGTGTTCCACATCAAATTAGACCACGTCAATGGGTCTTTAAATTACGATTTGGGGGACAAAACAGAAAATTTAAGAAGAATGAATCATTTTGAAAAATTTAATAAGGCTAATAGAAATTTTTTTTTTGCATAAAATGCTAGATTTTTCGAGTATTTTGTGCGTATTTTGGCGTTAAATATTGGAGAAAATCTATTATGATATAGGACGCTCTGTAGTAGATTGTTAAAGTAGTATAAAGTTAAAGTGCGGTGGTAGGCGATATTTAGTTTTATAATAAAATGATTATGTAGAGCTCTTTAAAACTGTTCCCGCATATTCTGAGTCTAAAACTAAAGAACAAAAATTTTTGACTTAAATTTTAAGTTCATTGTTAAATGCGACTTCTGACTTAATTTAAACATGAACTTTAACCGTGAGGTCAAATATTTAACCTTGTGGTTAAATATTTAACTCGCCGAAACCGACGAGTTAAAATTTAAACACAGGGTTAAATCTTGAAATCCCGCAATCCCTATTTGCCTATCATCATTTAGCGGTAAGCGGCATTCAACTAATTACAATATATTAAAAAGTAAAAACCTTGATTTAATAAATTTCACGTTTTAGATTAATTAATGTTTGCACGTAAATAATCTAAAATTTAAAAATCAGCTGATTACCAATAATTACGTAAAAATTCTTTTCTCTGATTGGTTCAGATTTTCCCGGGAAATTCAAATTTAAAATTGAGAAAGTTAAATATATTAAATAGCTTCTCATTATTTTACAGAACTTTTAACCTCGAACTTAAAATTCGCGCATTCTTTGGTTTTAGACTCTGGGCTATTAATTTATTTTCGCAAATACTGAGATTCACGTAAAATAGTATAAAACCCATTGAAAAATTGTTAAGACGACATTTATAAAGTAGTATAGAGTGGTAAAATAGTAGAATGGTAAAGTAGTAGAGTGGTAAGTAGGAG